TTGATCCAACTTTTCCTTCTTTTTAAGTCATTTGGAAATGCATGTCCTCCTCTTAAATGACATCAAGGTACACAAAAACAAGTACTTGGCATCGTTAATTAAAAATGTAACTGAAATAGTTGCACAGTGCAGAAACCGGAAGTTGAGGAACAGGATCGGCTACCACGGCACCACCTATTCAGGAACGATAATTTGCTACTTTATATAACTGCGAAATAACAATAACGTTAGACGGGTTCACGTGCATAAACAGAAATGCTCTTTAAATTGTATAATATAATTCATGTTCAGTCGACCTTTAATTATTATATCAACGACTTATAAACATCTCGATTGCAGATAACACTCGAAATTAACACGAGCTCTTTCCACACGGAATTCAAATAATTCTAGTTTGTCAATCGGATGACTGCTTATAATGCAAAATACAAATATATCAAAAGTTTTTAAAACTAACAAAACACAATGATCGTTTCTCTATTTCCCAATGTAAATGAAATGAAACAAAAAACATTTTATATCACAATAAGAAGAGGAGAGAATTCAACATTTCCGGATCTACTTGGAGCCTAATGACCCCCCACGTAGATAAGATGGATGTCGCGGAAGGAAAGATAAACCCGGCAACCAGAAAGGCATTAAAGCACTGCCTTTAAAAAAATCGGCGAAACATCATTACTTTGAAGCTTTCAACAACAGTTAACCTGATCACTTACTAAAATATATAGCGTTGAATATTTTCATATTTCAATTTTCTGGTATCATTGTGTTTTAATTTTACTTATTTATATAAATATGTGTGTTTTGTTCTAATTTCTTGTCATTAAGATTCATTCAAATAATTAACACGTTTTGACTAATGATAGCCTATATGTAAAAAAAAAAATAACTAATTTGTAATTCCAAATTTCATTTAGTAAGATTTATTCACCCATTTAAACTCGTTCTTGTCCAGTAATAAATTCCTTGAACGAGTTTGAAAAGGGAAATAAAACCTGAAGATGGAAATTGTCATAATTTTCATGAATCAAGATTTGGTTTTGTATCAAACCCGTTCTTAAATGTATTTGATGCCGTACTTATCAAAATACGTTTTTCAAACAATCAAAGCCAGGGGCGTTTCTAGGATATTTGAAAGAGGGGGCGTAGAATGAAATCTGTTGCTGAGCGGAGTGAGGGGAAAAATTTTTTGGACCTTTTTTTTGCTAAAAAACATAAATTAATTGTGAAATGCACTAATGTAACGGTTCAATACAATATTAGCAGATTACGATAGTTTTTTTTTTTTTTTTTTGAAAAGGGTACGCCCTCACCTGGACCCGCCCCTGAAATCTCATATAGTAAGATTTTATTTCTCATTAAAATCGTTCTTGTTCAGTAATACAAGCCTTGAACGATTTCAATGTGAAAACAAATTCTGAATAAACTGCTTCGCAGAGCGCAGCTGGATACGACCAAAGAGGTCCAACCATGAACAGTTGGGGCAAAAATGGACACAATATTCAAGCTTGATACAGGTCTGAATTTGGATTGTAATTAAATTTTTGACACATTATAGGTTTCTGACACAGAATAAATGTAGTCGAAGAACTTGAAATTGGTTGTATGATTTGAATTTATATTCAATTGAAGATTTCTTGCTGTTGTGCAATACTTAGTAAATCTGTTTTCAGACTATATACAAAGAATTAGCAAAATAAATTGTGACCCCCAATTTTTTTCTTTGGAAAATTGACAATTTTTTAAATCTGGAGGGGAAAAAAATTGAACTCCCCAAAAAAATATTTTTTACCCCCAATTTTGAAGAAATTTTCTTTTTGTAAAATGTGGTACAAATTAAGAGACATCCGTACACTTAAACACAAGTTATTGTCTGAAAACTAGAAAAATGCTTGTTTTAGACCCTTTTTGGCCCCTAATTCCTGAACGGTTTGGGCAGTTAACCCCAAAATGAATCCCAACCTTCTACTTGTGGTATTGAACCTTTTGGTACAATTTCAGAGCAATCAAAATACTTATACACAAGTTATTGTCCTGAAACTAGAAAAATGCTTGTTTTGGCCCCTTTTTGGCCCCTATTTCCTAAACAGTTGGGACCATCACCCCCAAAACCAATCTCAACCTTCTTTTTGTGGTATTAAACCTTTTGGTTATATTTCATAGAGATCCATACACTTAAACTAAAGTTATTGTCTGGAATCCAAATGTATGATTTGAATTTATATTCAATTGAAGATTTCTTGCTGTTGTGCAATACTTAGTAAATCTGTTTTCAGACTTTATACAAAGAATTAGCAAAATAAATTGTGACCCCCAATTTTTGTCTTTTGAAAATTGAGTTTCTTTCTTTATACATAATTTAAAAGCAGTGTAAGGGAGGTAATCAAAACGTTGTGTTTGGATTACCTCTCTTACACTGCTTTTAAATTGTCTTAATTGTCCATTAACCAGGAAACCCTTGTTTTTCCCCCTTTTTTGCCCCTAATTTCTAAACGGTTTGAGCCATAACCCCCAAAGCAAATCCTATCCATCCCTTTGTGGTATGGAAACTTGTGGTATAATTTCAGAGAGATCCATACACCGTTCCACAAGTTATTGTCTGGAAACTAGAAAAATGCTAATTTGGGCCCCTTTTTGGCCCCTAATTCCTAAACTGTTAGGACCATAACCCCCAAAATCAATCCCAACCTTCCTTTTGTGGTTATAAACCTTGTGTTTAAATTTCATAGATTTCTATTTAATTAAAGTTATTGTCTGGAAACCAACTGTCTTCGGACGACGACGACGTGATACCAATATACGACCGCAAAATTTTTTGCGGTCGTATAAAAATGAATTTGTGGCCGTTTTCTTCTCCGTTTTCTGTCATTTATCATATTTTGGGTATTATTTCTAAACAATTTCTTGTAGGTCAATGTGTCTGACATTTCCCATTACAACTATTTTAAGCAGGTAATTTGAGCTCGAAATATTCTTTCTTTGCCAACTGTTTCAACACTTATCTACGAAACTGGCTAGAGGATAATGTCTGTCAGCCAAAAGTGCAGCTTAAACATGACCATTTATGGACAAACAACAATTGTGAGTCCATAAATCATGTATATTTAAGAAGGTCGTTGAGTGTTCAAGACTTTACTACCAAACTGATGAACATTGTACTTGTACAACTCATCGACTTGAAGCGGTCCCTATATGGAATGGGAAATCATGAACTTTTCGGTCCTTACAGAAAACATGTTGTATCCCATCAATGTTGGTTTTCTAAGACCCAGGAATAGCGAGAAAGACTATTTCAGAGACTGTTGAATGACACTAAGTCCGTTCAAACAAGACTAAGTCCTCATGCACAGAGACCAAAACCCCAGAAACTTGCACGAAAGCCAAACCAAAGAAAGAGACCAAGGACAGCACGTACGCAGCCAAGATATTAGACTTAGCAAAATCAAATTTAAAAAAAAACACTTGTCTGTCTTTTTATGGTTAAATAAAATATGATAATCAGTATACAATGTTTTTATTTATTAAGTTGATGTTGGAGAGAAGAAAAAAATCACAAAGAAAAGCAAAAACGAACTTGTAATACACAAATAGGCAACTAATAAAACAATATCAATTTTTATTTTCTTTATGAACTGCAGAACGCACAACAACAAATTTGATTTAGCTGTCCTCATTACAAATAATCTGTAAAAATACATTGAATGGGTGTTTTTATTATTTTTCTCCATAAACGTAAAAATTCACTATGCATAAATTAAATTTAATTACATAAAACAATCCCGAAACAACTTAAAAACATTGTATTGTTCATTTAAAACAAAACACTATTCTTACAACATGATATTCATAAGCAACAAAGATAATCCAATCAATTTTGTTGATTGGATAATTTGTGTAATCAGTGACACGTATCCTCATTATTTTATGAGAATTATAAATATCTATCTAAGTTTGTTTTTAAAATCTACCAAAATTTACCACTAAAATATACAGCGTGTAACGAATATATACATTCTTCCTGTGTGCATATACAATGACTATAAAGAGTCCTAAGTGCACTTTTTATGTTCTGAGTGCACTCAGGAAGTCCTGAGCAGTGTTTAGACGTACCCAGAGACATATATATGTCTCTGACGTACCCAATGAAATGATTGCATTTAAAAAAAAGTTGTTAGTGTTAAATGTTTTTTTTACCTGAATGAAGTCTTATTAATTGATTATATTCTGTTACAACTTACAGTTAATCAATAAAATTCAGGTATTTGTCACAGGTGTACAAACTTCTTGTAAATGTAACAGTTGATTAGTTACGAAAATGGCCAGACCATTGATGTACTAATTAGGTTAAAAAATCATCAAGAGTGACATACAACTCTTATTTAATTTGACACTAATTAATATGGGTAAAATACCAGAGACAGTACCTCGCACTCTTATATTATTTGACACTAATTAACAAGGATATACATACATCATTGGCATTTTATTAACACTAACATACAACATTATCGACCTGTCGACTGATTAAAAAGTTCGTTCACAAAAAGCTTTAGCTATTAGAAAGTACAGAATGTATGCATAAATTTTCGCAAATTTCATTTATCCGCCAAAATAAGTGAAAATAAACACCCCTCGAAAATAACCCCCTATGCGGTATTAGACAAAGGCTGAAGTTTAATAAAAGTTCAATCTGATTGTAATACAGATCCTGTGTCATCACTTTGTTCACTATCTGACAACACTCTGTTGTACTTTCTGTTGTGGTCATTGTTACATCAGCCAATGAATTGTCAGCCTTCTATTTTGTGAAGGTGTAGTTCTTTAACACAAAACCAGAGGACTCCAAAAGGTCTGTAAAACAGAAAGTACATAGAACCGAGCATTTTCAGATCCTTGTAAGTAAAGTGAGGACAGACAAGATCTGTATTTAATCAGATAGATAAAAGTTGAGGCTACATGCAACATTTCAATAAAATCTGGTTGTGTGTGTATTAACCTACCATGTCTACAAAATCCTCTGTCATACCAAGCACAATCTTTTAACTTTGATGACGGGTCGATGTGTAAAAATGGACATTCTTTGTTGTTACATTCACCTATATGAAAGTAAATATATATCATGATACCACTGACATCCTACATGTATCTTGTTCATAGACAAATGACCTTCTTTTAAAGCTTAAGTTGTTAACTTCTATTTATTGATACTTTTGGAGTGACTCCAAAGCCTAGCAAAAATGAAAACTAGGGAATGACTGATGCAACAGCAACAATCATTAAAGAAGAATGTTAAGGGAAATCTTCAAATGTGAAGCATATTTCTTATAAGCCATTTAAACGAATTGGTGGTCATTCTTCATTAAGAAAAAAATACATTTCCTGTATTCAAAGATACATGTACAAATACCTTATACAGAGATAATTCAAATTACTGTTAAATAGCAATATAATGGGGAGTATAGAAATAAATTTATTGGAGAAAATGCTCAGGTAAGAGTTATACAATTGTGTTTATTGTTTCAACCAAATTACTGATAATTGTAACTTAAAAAAACCTTAATTACTAATTTATGTCAGATGATTATGACACTGATTTTACAAGTGAAATAAAATCTGGTTGCATTTTTTATACATATTTTATTTTTAGTCTTCTCTTTGAAAAATCAGAGTGCTGGATAGCACCTGTGGAAAGTTTGCAACAGTAGATGTGTATCATTTCAAATAGGTTGTAGATGTTTATTATTTCAAATAGGTTGTAGATGTGTATTACTTCAAATAGGTTGTAGATGTGTATTATTTCAAATAGGTTGTAGATGTGTATTATTTCAATTATGTATTTAATCACAGCTTTGGTAATTTTCCCTAAACCATTGTCTCATCAGCAATTATCAAAAATCACTTTTTTCATATGTTTGTCATGTCAAATTTTGATAATTTCTATTGCAACCTTAAACTGTAGATTTAAAATAATCAAATATACAGAATGCTCTGTTAAATTCTTTCTGTGCCCATCCCATGTAAAGGGCCTGTGATTAAGTATTTTTTATTGATTAAGGTCCTTCATATTTGTTTTTAGTAAATTGTATTATTACTAGTTAAGCAGTTAGTTTTCTTGTTTGGATTGTTATATATTGAACAAACTCGGACTACGATTAGTAGATTGTGTGGTTAACGTTTTTTCCGACTTTTAAAATATTTTACTTAATACAAGAAATAATAGTAACAGGATGCTGTTACGAAGTCTCCCAAACAAAGCTCCCATAATTAGTCATTCCCATGGTCGCCTGACATTGGGCAAAGTCCAGTACAAATTGGTTTGGTCTAGTAAAGTGATATGCATAAGTGACGCCTAGGGATTAACCCTGCATGTCATTCAAATCTTCTTGAAATCGTGAACAGGAATATATATGGTTTAGGGGTGGGGATCCTGACCATTTACAAGTTCTCAAAAAATGGGGGGGGGGGTTGATTCTCAGGGGACTCTTTATTTCATTTGATTTGTTTGATTGTTCTGTACAAGAATATATATGGTTTTGGGGTGGGGATCTCGACCATTTACAAGTTTTCAAAAAGAAGGGGGGCGGGGTGACCCCCGTTAACTTCCCCTATATTTCATTTGATTTGTTTTATTGTCCCATACAAGAATGTATATGGTTTAGGGGTTGGGATCTCGACCCTTTACAAGTTCTCAAACAGGAGTGGATGGGGGTGACCCCCAGGGACTCCCCCTATATTTCATTTGATTTGTTTTATTGTCCCATACAAGAATATATATGGTTTCAAGGTGGGGATCTCGACCGTTTACAAGTTCTCAAACAGGAGGGGGTGGGGGTGATCCAGAGGGACTCCAGCTATATTTCATTTGATTTGTTTTATTATCCCATACATGAATATATATGGTTTAGGGGTTGGGATCTCGACCATTTACAAGTTGTCAAACAGTATGGGGTGGGGGTGATCCCCAGCGACTTCCTCTATATTTCATTTGATTTGTTTTATTGTCCCATACAAGAATATATATGGTTTAGGGATGGGGATCTAGACCGTTTACAAGTTCTCAAACAGGAGGGGCTGGAGTGACCCCTAGGGACTCCCCCTATATTTCATTTGATTTGTCTTATTGTCCCATACAAGAATATATATGGTTTAGGGGTGGGGATCTCGACCGTTTACAAGTTCTCAAACAGGAGTGGGTGGGGGTGACCCCCAGGGACTCCCCCTATATTTCATTTGATTTGTTTTATTGTCCCATACAAGAATATATATGGTTTCAAGGTGGGGATCTCAACCGTTTACAAGTTCTCAAACAGGAGGGGGTGGGGGTGATCCAGAGGGACTCCAGCTATATTTCATTTGATTTGCTTTATTATCCCATACATGAATATATATGGTTAAGGGGTGGGGATCTCGACCGTTTACAAGTTCTCAAACAGTATGGGGTGGGGGTGACCCCCAGGGACTTCCTCTATATTTCATTTCATTTGTTTTATTGTCCCATACAAGAATATATATGGTTTAGGGATGGGGATCTCGACCGTTTACAAGTTCTCAAACAGGAGGGGCTGGGGTGACCCCTAGGGACTCCCCCTATATTTCATTTGATTTGTCTTATTGTCCCATACATGAATATATATGGTTTAGGGTTGGGGATCTCGACCGTTTACAAGTTCTCAAACAGAATGGGGTGGGGTAATCCCAGGGACTCCCCCAATATTTCATTTGATTTGTTTTATTGTCCCATACAAGAATATATATGGTTTAGGTGTGGGATCTCGACTGTTTACAAGATAAAGCACATTCTCAAATTGAAAGAGGGTGGGTTGACCCCAGGGACTCAACCTATATTTTACTTGATTTGTTTTATTGTCCTGTGATCATTACTGAAGACCGCGTGTGTCTATCACTTACTGTTTTCAAGTTATAGTCATTTGAAAATTTAAAAAAATAAAATTCCATAGGGGAGGGGTTGGACAGGGGGGTACCCTTCTCCCACCTCCCTCCCCCTATCTCCAACTCCCACTTTTAGAATCTTTTTTTCTCTCCCACCTATTTTTTTGTTTCGGAGACTTAATAACAAATAGTATATACGAATTTTGTTCTAGTCTGATTTTGGGAGGCCGATAATGTAATAGGCAGAGTTTGTTATCGTCCGAGTCTGTTATGGTCCGAGATGAGATACCAGGTTACTTTCGATACACTCGGGCTTTTACGTCTTAAATAACTGCTGTCTCGTGTAGATGTGTATTGATTTTAATTTCCGCACAGCGCAGATCCGCAAAGTAATGTTTGTGATAGCCATTTTCAAAATGAAGTTGAATTCATTTGAATTATCGATGAACATTCAGTACATTTTAATTCAAGCTGTAAGCTAATCAAAATAGAAGTAACTCAAAATTTCAAAAGCATCTTCCTAGAATTAGTATTCAAACACTAGTACTACATTATCCAGGAGTAGACATAGTAAGATAATCTGTCCAACTTAGGGTTTGAGGCCGATGCCTTAGGAAAGTATATTGCTATAGCAAGCTATAGCAAACTATAGCAAACTTTCCAAAAACCACATCTTATTAATCAGTCAGCTTTCACACAAAATTAACAAAATAATTTAATGAAGTGTTGATCAAAATAAATAATAGGTACACTATTCAGGGTAAGATTTTGTGTATTTAGTTAGATGTGTAATAAATTGAATACACAAATTCTTTACCTCAATACCAGCATGATTATCAACTTTCATGATATAATTTAATTGTGGTCAATTAAGACTGCATTAGAATGGAATTGATTCCAATTAATACTAAAATACAGCATTGAGTGTAATTGTTTGAAAATCATGACAGTTGATAATCATACTGGTACAAAATGTATTGTATCAATAATCTTTTTTGCCTAATGAAAAAATGGGAATAATAGCATTTCAAAAAAAAGTGTGGGAATCAACTCTGATATCAATACACATCTTGAACCAAATTTTATTCAATGGCTTACACGAACATACAAGATACCGATAAAACACTTTCATAATTCTGATCAAGTGCTTAAATTTGATAAATCACTTTTTCACATCAATTAATAAATGGCAATTTAATTTGAATTTTGATTTACAAAGGAACTATATGCAAGTGTATATCTAAAATAAAGAAGTTGTTCGCCCAATCTTTTCTTAATTTAAGGACAGTAACATATTAAAAGTTGGCAGTTGATTATTAAAATGGTGTATAAAGTTTCTGCAAGTCATAAAAACACATAAGTATTTTCATAATATGTCTTCAAATTAGAATTCTGCACCATCTCCAAATCTGGAGTGATCACATAGATCCAGCATGGCTGAATCAAAAATATAATTAAAGCTGTATTATGCAAATGCAAATATCAACATGATGGTATACAATTGTGTAAAATTTCATTGCATTCAAAAGCAAAATGTTGGAGAATTTGTGCTCAAAAGAAAATTATGAACAGACAGAAGAAAGAGAAAACTTTCACTAAAATCAAAATGTTTTGCCTTCTGAAATATTTAAATTTTAAAGGACAATGGATTGAGTTCGAGGTAGACCTGTTAACTACATAAGTAATCAAGGTAATAAATAAAGTACATTTCAATGTACCTATTATGTATAAATTCTGGAAAACAAATTTAAGAGGCTGTTATAATGATAACAAACCTGGTTTTATTACATTTATAAGTATCATTGTTAATGCAATGAAGGGCCATAACTCCTGATCAACAAAAGTAAAAATTGTCAGTATGAAAATGGACCTCCATTTTGTAATTAGTAAGAACACATTAAAATTAGAAAAGAGTTGGCTGAAAGGGTCATATATATTATTATATGGAACGAAATAAAATTGAATCATCGAACAGTTCTTCAGTTATTCCATTGATACGACATAAAGTGCCTTTTCCCTATCAATCAATCACAATAACTTCTGAACTGCACAATCATCAATATTGAATTGACCTCCATATCATCATCAGTAACAACATATTAAAATTTTAAAAGCATTGGTTATAAATGTTCATAAGATATTGCACAGAAACAACTGATTAACCCCAAATAAATAACCGGATTTCTGATGTGGAATCAGGTTAATAAAAACTTATCTTGACCAACATAGCATGAAAATAAGGTCAAGATACATGTAGTTTACAACAATCCACTTATTTTATGTAATCATGGTAATTGTGTGATTTTTTTTCTTATGGAAAGCTCTCATATTTCATTTTTTTGTACTTAAAGTTTATTCAATATATATATATATATATATATATATATATCCTTACATATTCTCATATCTCTACTAATTCTAATTCCTGACTGATGCCAATACAAATATAAATTACAATAATTTACATACCAAATTTTGAGAAGAAGTAGCATTCAGGCATCTTTGTCATATCATACTCATGGAGAAATTCACAATCGTCTCCTTTTTTACATAGACCTCGTAACCAATGTTTACATACAACTGTTCTGTCACCTTTAACATGACGGAATGGACAAGCAGCACCTTTACTACAAACATTACTTAAATAGTATGTACAGATAGCTGCTCCAGATTCTGAAAAATAAAAGATAATTCTATTTATAGTATAATCAGGTGATATATACACAACAAACATGACAGAATATAATTTTACTTCACTATGAGTATGAATAATATTGTCATATCATAAGAAGTCACAGATTAGATTTGAGTTTCATTCGAATTCATGGATTTTTGCTGAAGTTGTGACCTAGAAAAGTTACTCGAAAAATATCAGTTTAAGGCTCTTTTCTGTTATACTATAATCAATTGATTAGATATTTAGTATATAGTCCTATCATATATGTCATAAGGAGTTCCAGATCTAGTTTTTTTCAGTTTTAGTTGAGTGATTTTGCAGAACTTGTGGTGCTTAGACATAGAAAATTGCCTTAAATGGCCTGAGAACACAGTTATTTCGTAGTGCATGAATTAAAAGTTGCAAGTTATACGCTGTCCACACTAGGGATTCTATTTGTAGACAACGAAAATCAAAGGACGATAACTGTGTCCCAAGACCTAATGGGATAGAAAGACTTGACCAATTTTTATAAAACTGGCATGAACAAAGATTAGGGAATTATAAGACAGTTTATCAAGTTTCATGGCAATAGAATATGTATAAGAGACCATATGGTCATTCTTATATCATGTTTATTTGAACTTTGGGTGTTTATTTTTGACGTTCAAATCAAACAATTTCAACTATCAAGGTTTAGGCCTACAAAATTTAAATATGGCAAAAAATTACTTTTCTAATGCCTTAATATATAATGTAGCAAGTATTTCAATGTATTTAAACATCTGAACACTCATTTGATGTATCAGATTTATAACAATTCTTCAAAAGTCAAATTTAAATGAGCATCATGCCTGAAAATAGAGATTTTTCAATGAAGAGGGGCTTATATAAAATTATAATTTTGTCCACCAAATTAAAAATTGTGAAGTAATTTTGCTATAAATAATTCTTTCGTATATATCTAATGTACTTTAAATGGAAAGAAAAATTACAAATAGCATACCACATGAGTATAAAATAGTCCTAGGCCATGTAAGACTAAAAATAATTTAGGGTCAATTTAGGCCGTAACACATAATTACATACATGACATATAAAAATGCATATATATAAGCTATAGGAAATAGAAATTGTTTCTTTTTGGTCATTTCTATGCTAAGGTCATGAAGGTGACATGATACAAGAAGTCTGAGTGCAATAGGACTCTTGCATTCAACTTTTTTTGCAGACAGTATAGTCTGATGCAAAGTTTTTTCAATTCAGTGGAAAACTTGCGTGTAATTTTAGTCTCAATAGGCATATATTTAAACCACTTTTTTATCCTACAGAAGAAAAAAGGTGTCATATGAAAGGAAACAGGTACAAAAATCATTGTAAAGTGCTTTTTATACAGATTTAGTGAACTCTTTATAATGGACTTCAACTTTTATGTACATAGCTCATTACATTTCACTTCCTTTAAACAGGCTGTGAGACCAGGACCATAAATACAGCACATTTTGCACATTTTTTCTGTGATAATCTACTTTTCTCTAGATTCAGGGTTCACATATGATTATAGAAACTTGAAATAAGCCTAAACACACACATATCAAAACATGAAAACCTGTCAGATAAAAAGTCAGCTAGCCCCTCAGGCATAGAAATGGCTTAAAATAGCTTATTTCAGCCATATAATGCTAAAATTGGACATTTTTACAGAATTTCTATCAAATAAAGATGAAAATCCTTTAATTTCATTCAGTTTGACAAGTTGATACCCTCAAATCATTCAGGGAAGTTGTCAAAGTACAGAATCTACATTTACTGAATTCATCTCTTAGGCCCGAGAACACAGTTATTTCATAGTGCATTTCCTTAAGACAAAAAAAAAATCGCACCTGCTCTATCCAAAAAAGATTTTTACAGTGTAGTGTACTACTTTTGGGACAAATTATGTCAAAATTATAGAAAAGTCTCTAACTCAAAATATGGATAATTTTATGTTAAGGGAGTCTGTAATTCAGTTTGACAGCTTCAGACATACTAATTTTTGACCTTTTCAAACTGGACCAAATCACTACTTTACCTAAAAATACATGCCCCAAATTTTTAGGTGTATAAAAAAAGTTGCAATTTATACAGTGTCCACACTAGGGACTCTATTTGTAGACAACGAAAATCAAAGGATGATAACTGTGTCCCCGGACCAAATATAAAGTTTTAGAGAAATAAAACCCTAACACTTTTAAGTGTCGAGTTTGCCGTGCAGCTATTGACAATATCCTCATCTTCAAATAAATGTTGTGGGTGGCTAAATCAGAGGATTTCTATGAACTAATACAACTATATCCAACATGTCCCCATTTCGGTGAATGGTTCTAACCTTACAAAACTTGGACTTCTGAGTGCAAAGTCAGTACTCTAATTATCTAAGCTAAAGAATTACTTTTTTAGCTCAACTAATAACATGTATCTACTATTCTAAACATGCTTAAAAAGCAATCCATTCCCATCCCACCAAGGGTCAATCTTTCAACCACAGAACACCATCAAACACTCAATAAGCCATGCAAGGCCTCAGAAAAACAGTAATATTACACAAAAATAAATTAAACTACTGTGGATTCATTTATTTTCCTGGCTACCAATTTTCATGGATAAGGCTTTGTGATTGTACATGTATGTACATATATTTCTGCTTAATTACATGTATATACGAATTGTATCAAATTTAATATAAATCGATTCACTGACAACTCAATTTTGAGTAGTTTATCTCATTTCCCCAAATATATCTGAAATAAATTTTAAAATCAACAAAACAAGTGGGTCACCTGTGTTTTTATCGGAAATGTGTTTGATTGTTAAATCCACCCATGCGCAGTAAATATGTATGGAGGGCCAGTTTATCACATAATTACATGTATGAAAGGAAAATAGTGATTTATTAATAGACCACATATGAAGGGATTCCAGACAATAGAGAAAAAAAAATTTCAAGTCAGAAATGAGTTTTGTAAGCAATACAATGTAATATGGTTATTGTTAGCTTTAGGAACTGTATTGTATATAACTCTAGATATTTTCATAATAAAGGATTTTTCTTTAACTTGACATGGAGTGAGGATAAGTACAGTTCTTATGAATAAAATAGCAGACAAAATATTCAGTGAAGTGACAATTACGGAAGTAAATGGGAGTGTGCGGGTTTACGGGATGGTTGAAATTACCGGACACTATTGTAACCAAATGCCTGTGTGCAAAGGTGTTCAACAGTGAAAAGACCAAACATCTTATCATATTTCACTATGTGAATACTTGTTCAGCAAACATACTCTGTATTGTACTTTTTATTTCTATTTTTTTTTTTTAAATGAGAGCAGAAACATGTAGGGCAGGAGTCGACTCTACTCTAGTCTAGGTCAAATTATTATGACGTCTTGGAAGGCAATTTTAATTTTTTGTTTTGAGACATTCCTGCGTAGAAGGCGTCACAGTACAAATTAAAGTAACCTTTCAAGACGTCGTAATTATTTGGACTGTTCGACTAAGAGTCGACTCATGGGCCTGTAGGCTGAAGCATAAACTGATAAACAGTAAAACACTCAAAACAACACTCATAACTCACTGTCCATCCCTGGAAATGGTAGAGGAAGAGCACCAAGCTGCATCTCTAAAGATGCACATATGTCAAACTGTATGTATTGTACGGGAGCTACAACGTCCTGCATTTTAAGTGTTTCTAGTAAGACAAAACTCTCAAAAGAGTGAAAATCCCCTCGAAAATAGGAAATTGCGTCTTTCGCACGTTGATTTTTTGTGGTCTTTGGAATCTGTTAAGTGTTTAAATATGGGCTGGATGAAAGTATCATTTTAAATCACTAAAACAAGTCGGAGAGATAAATTTTGCGGTTACTGGTTCCTTGCCAGAAACTGGATTTTTGTTGCCTAGTAAAAAAGAAACAGATAGGGATTTTCCACATTTTTTTTACTACTTCATGAACTTGATGTCAACTTTTCTTTCATGGTCAAATATGGGGTGAAATGAATCAAATTATCTTAAGAACTCATAAAAGTGCATATGAACCTGGTGAAGAAATATTTGGGTAATTAAACATGTCTCTTTTTAAGAAGGACTCATTTGGGACAGATCATTATATGCATGGCATAAACTTCACAGAATGACAGACACTGAGTTTTTTTGTCTCTGTATATACATTACAATATATCCATATAACTGATGTACATTCTACTAGGGTGTGTGATTTCATTGATGTAATATTGTCATGATTGTAATACCCTTAAGTCTGGTAATTTCTTTCCTCCCATAAGTCCAATCATAATTTGTAAACCTAAAATTGAATAAACACACTTATTGAATGAATGAAATTACACGCCAGCATTGTATATAAACGCCATTACTGAACAAACAGAGCTACCAACCAGCATTATATTTTTATATGTAAATATATATTTGTACATGTTGTAAGGCCAATTAAAATTAATTGATAGATTTTCATCCCCGCCCGCCCCAGGTTTTTTGTTCATTTCCGTTACCGATAACCGCCGATAATTTTGTTTCATTCAACAGTCAGGGGTACTACTTAAACAAGTGATTTTATTATCACCTATTTCAGTGATTTGATAAATTCAGTTATCACCTATTTAAGTGATTTTGGTGTTTCCTTTGATCTTCAAATGCTAATTTCATTGATTTTCCATATTTTGACAAACTTTTCTATAATTTTGCTACATAGAACTAATTATCCCTTTCTTTTGTATATCAATTTCACCAGTGCGCTTGGACAGTAAGTTAGTGCGCTAAAGCTTTTAAAAGTAACCCTTGGGAATTTTTCTATAATCAAATATTCATTAACTACTCTTACTATCAGACAAAGGTCAACAATATTAGGTAACCTGATTGGTTTTCTTTAGAGTTATAATGATCTACTTCAAGGTTATGTCCTGATCTACAAATTATTCCAGTTTTTGCATATTTTAAATAAACTGTAAAAACTGACAGGCTAATCAAGCAAAAGACAATTTCTGCATGTACATAGTTGTTTTTTCAATGGAAGTCTTGTCTTTTTACCAATAAAAAAGACAAGCTTGTGGGAAAAATATCAAGAAAATGTTATAAACACTTGTTGAAGTGATTACATTTTAACTTCTCAAATTACTTGTTTCAGTGATTTTAAAAATACTGTCTATTTTTGTGAAAAATTTTAATATTTCACAACCAAAATCATTTGAAGAAGTGATTCTGAAATCACTTGTTTAAGTAGTACCCCTGACTGTTCAAAACTTCCTGTTTCAGATTTCGGTTTTTGTATTCTTCGAGTCAACAAATCCTTTGCTCAGTGATGACAAAATTATCTTCTGAGTATATAGATTGATTACTAGAAGGGCATGAAATATTAGGGTTATGAGTAATAGGCAGTGTCCAAGAACGTTAATCGCAGTATGTCACAAATTTCAATGAATAGAAAACTGGATTTTTTTATTTATACAATGTCAGGAAATTTGGACTGTGAATGATATCCCAAGTGCAAGAATCGTGGAACATATTGGTACAAAAACATGACAGGAATAAAGCAATTGACACAAGCACGAACTTGTGCGATTTATGACCAAATATTGAGTACAAAGAGTTGGCCAACGTACAAAATGTATTATAGCAAGCCCTTAGATTTACCCAAAGGCTGTCATTTTTGTTGACAAACAGCAAACACCTTCTGTCCCCAGCCCCTCAATAGAGTCATTAAACAACTTTTTCTTTTTGGTTCAGTTCATGTTTTACATTGTAATTATATTTGCACCTTGCATAAGAATCTTAAAAGCTTCAACCCTAGTATTCTCAACACAGTTTGAGTTTATTTTACTCTGTACTCATATTATTTGTGTTGCATACCAATGCATATGCTTCATTTTATGAGCACTACAATAATGTAGAATTCCTTATATATACATGATATAAGCTTATTATTGCCCTTGTATATGAACAACACGTCACAAAAGGGTTTAGGAGGAAGTGAAAATTAAATTTCAACTAAAAAAAATAAAATCCTCCCACCCGTCCCACTTTTTTTCAAAAATCTGGATGAAAATCTAATTTTAGTTGGCCTAATGGTGGTCACTTTGTTTACTTGTTTATTTATTTTGGGGTCTTACTAATTAGCGACAAGAGAATAATTAAGCGACAAGAAGACTAGTCTAGTGATAAAAAAACAAATTTAGCGTCAAAAATCTAAATATTAGTTATTCAAATAAAATATAAATAAAGAAAGAAGCAATAAAGTGTGTTTTTTAAAAAATTGATATACATGTATTTTAATTATTTCAGTATACTGATAGAAGAAAATGATCATTTGTTCAAGAAAAGTGTTTTTTCTATCGAGGATATGTTTAAGATAATATATTTACAGTTTAAAGCATATATATATATATATATACGACTTGGAGGTGCGATGGGGATGCTGAAATGTGATGGTTTGGCATGACGTTTGATATTGTGACATTTTCAATACAAGGTTATTAAGGTTCATGTGGACCCTTTGGCTAAAATGGCTGCGTTTTCACCTCAAAATTTACTCTGAGTACTGACAAACCTGTGCATCTGGAAAATTTTAAGGCATAGCATGCCCTTGATAAATAAAATTCAAATGCATTGTATGTTTTAGAAAATTTAAAACTTAACTAGATTTTGCAGTACACTTTTTTTCGTCCCTGCAGAAGATGATAAAATTAACAAACAGTTGAGTTACACTTGATATGGTCCACTGAGGTATCACTCAGGTACACAGTTTAAATCACCAATTATTGTCAGGTATCTATTGTCCATCTATTGTCCATGTCAATCAATACAGTTCACTTCAATTATTACCTGTGGGGAAGTTCTCAAACCTCTTTCACAACTTAGTTTTATTTTGGCACCTTCTGGAGGAATGAGAAAAAAGTGCACTGCAAAATCCTGTTAACTTTTTCATTTTCTAAAACATAAAATATATTTGAATTCTATTTATCTAGGGCATGCTATGCCTTAAAACTTTTCCAGATACACAGGTTTGTCTGTACTCGAGTAAATTTTGAGGTGAAAATACAGCCATTTTAACCAAAGGGTCCACATGAACCTTAAACAACATGGATTTGCAGGAAGGAGAATAAGATTTTGTAGATGAAGGTTTCATGCGTACAAAGGAAAGGAAACAGAAAGAAACGAATGATTCAAGTTCTGAACAGTGTTGAGCAGTGGAGGTGGGGGTTACAAAAATATTTAAATGTCAGGCATCAAATCCTGGGGAACAAAGCAGCTAAAAGATGATCTTTGCCTGCAGATGGAGTAACCGGTGTTTGGAAGTACAAAATGTATGCAGCAAACGTTTTGTACTACAAATAAAATGTCTTGATCTCAATATTAATTTTGACTTCTCTTCAAGTATATGCTTTACATGATTTTGTGTGGACAATTTGATAATATAATTAAATTTATTATTAGCAATGTTTTCGTTTTATATATCAAGTAGAGATAATTTTGTTTTATTCTTGAAATGAATCCTGCTTTATAAGAAAACCCGCACTCTAAGTATAATGTGTTTACAGTATTAATCTTCAGAAATGGGTTAAAATAAACCTGAATGGTCAGTACATGTACTCCTCAGTTTCTGCTGCTCAGCGGAGAAGCAGCTAATTCTCAAGCTTTTGACAGAACATGTGTCACGTCTCGCTATAATTCAAGCATAAATGTACTTGGTGCTTTTTATTTCTAGAAAACTGTTACAATATCAGAAAAATGGATGAATTAGTGTTGTGAGGTCGTATATTGGTATGACGTTGGCGTCGTCGTCGTCCAAAGACACATTGGTTTTCGCACAATAACTTTAGTTTAAGTGAATGGATCTCTATGATATTTAAACATAAGGTTTATAACCACAAAAGGAAAGTTGGGATTGATTTTGGGGGTTATGGTCCCAACAGTTTAGGAATTAGGGGCCAAAAAGGGGCCCAAATAAGCATTTTTCTAGTTTCATGACAAAAACTTGTGGAACAGTGTATGGATCTCTATGAAATTATACCACAAGTTTCCATACCACAAAGGGATGGTTAGGATATGCTTTGGGAGGTTATGGCTCAAACCGTTTAGGAATTAGGGGCAAAAAAGTGATATAAAACAAGGGTGTCCTGGTTAATGGACAATTAAGTACAAATTACAGTGTAAGGGAGGTTATTCAAAAACTACTTTGAATTACCTCCCTTACACTGCTTTTAAATTATGTATAAAGAATTTTTGTATTGTCTTGAGGTGATTAGCTGTCAATTCATTTTTAGAAGTTACTATTTTAATAATTTCAAAAATGCTGATTAAGGTAAATTAATTTTAGCTATGATTATGATTGTCATTTTCTATTTTAAGACTTTTATGGTGTATTTAAATGGGTTATTATGGTTGCAAACTCCATTGGAAATTTGAATTGAAATTATGACCATGCATGACTGAGGGAAAGAATTTTTTGGGGAAAAAGAAGGGGGTGGAGGAGGTTAAAAAAAATGGGGGGGGGGACAATATTTTCTCCTCAAGATTTCAGAAATCAAAAAGAAAATCCTTAAATTTTTTTTTTTTTGAAAAAAAGGTGGGGGTGGGGGGGAGGTCAATTCACAACAGCATAGTGTATTGCACAAAAGCAAAAAATTGAATATAAATTCAAATCATATAACCAATTCTAAGTTCTTTGACTACAGTTATGCTGTGTCAGAAACCTATTATGTGTCAAATATTGAATTACAATCCAAATTCAGACCTGTATCAAGCGTGAATATTATGTCCATTTTTGCGATATCTGCGGTCGTATCCAGCAGCGCTCAGCGAAGCAATTTATTTATCTATGTTATGACAAGAATAAGTACTAGTTAGTCTTGTATATTTGATAAAATGCGATGGACCCTGCTTAGTTAGTACTATAGACCGCCACACTGAACCCTTTTTATTTTTTGTCGCACTTGCACTACTATATAAAGACATGTCCTCCCACTCGAATCCATTATACTTAATCTGAGCCATCTAGTCTATTTTCTGACTCCATACTGCTGTGTGCTTAGCGGATAATTAGCAGATTAAAATTCAGTCTTTGGTTTGACCTGACCAGAAATCAAACCTGATCATCCAAATGCGAGGCTAGCACGCTAACCACTACACCACCACATTAAATGGGGTTCTAACTGAAGACTATCACATTAAGCTAGTATACAAATGTCACACCTAGACCATTGCACTTCAGCATACCCACCAACGCACTTCAGCGTGGACTATCGAACTACAGTGTGGACCATCGCACTTCAGCAATTCAAAGTACCATCGCGGCTCAGAGTCCTATATATATATAGTGTATAAGTGAAGGAATGAATGAAAAGGGGGGGGGTTAATTTCTTTGTTCTCTAATTTTTTAGCCATTCTTTATGGACACTTAATATAATCAGATGATTGAATGATTAGCTCATCCCATATCATGCATATGCTCTTATATTTAGAGTAATTGCCATGTGCATTTACTGTTGTAACACCATTAAGAATCTGGGATTGTAACAAATTGTTCAGATTCATAAATACTTTGAAATAATTTTTTTTTACTAAGAATTCACTACAAAACGTCATGGCTACTAAATGCAACAAAATCTGAAAATTGTTAAAAAATTATAATAACCTGTAATGAATTGACTTTATTTTTATAAATTTATTGTTTAGATAGTATATAAACTTTTTTGTTGCTAAACATGCTAAATTTGTCTTCTTGTCGCTATTTTTTTGTTACAAATTAGTTTTAATTGTAAAATTCCCAGTTGGTCAAATACCAGTTACCATGCTTTCTTGTTGTTCAGAATCTGCTTTTTGAACATATCATTGGTATTTATTGTCTTGCCTGCGACAAAAGTCTGCGAGACATAGGTATTACTATCCGGCAGCGGCGTAAACTATTTGTATAAAGCTTTATATTTCAGAAGGTAGAAGACCTGGATGCTTCATATCTTGTATGCAGATACCTTATGTTACGAAGTTTCCGTCTGTCCATATGTCCAATGTCCTTGACCTCATTTTCATGGTTGAACGACTGCTTGGGAAAAAAAATGAGTTTTTTTGTCATGTGAATTTCTCACTTATCATGAGTAATAGGATAACCATATTTGGTATATGGGTGCCTTGCATTGTCTTCATGTCTGCAAGACAGAGTTCACCTGACCTCGACCTCATTTCATGGATCAGTGTAAGGTTAACATGTCTGTCTAGCCGTTGTCATCTGACCTTGACCTCATTTTCATGGTTCATTGGTCAATGTAAAGTTTTTGTGTTTTGGTGTTCTTTAAATACTAATAGCAATAGGTCAATTATAATTGGTGTATGGAATGATTATAAGGTGTACATGTCTGTCTAGCCAGTATCATCTGACCTTGACCTCATTTTCATGGTTCATTGGTTGACATTATGTTTTTGTGTTTTGGTCTGGTTTTCAATTACCTTTAACAATGGGTCAACTATATTTGGTGTATGGAATAATTGTAAGGTGTACATGTATTTGTGACAGTTTTTATCTGATCTTGACCTCATTGTCATGGATCTTAAAAATGTTAAGTTTATGTGATACTTGTAGTAAAACTTTTACCTTAAGACTTTCAACATAAAATCAATGGTCAGTAAAGCAGGCGAGACATTTCAGCGTGTGCACTCTTGTTCGATATATTCAATATACATGTATACCTGAGTTTGAAAGACAACTTGGACTACTTATAATACTTAAGACAACAGTTTGAGAGATTACTCTTACCAATTATGATAAAGACAACCATGACAATACAGACCAGTTTGAAAGACTACTCCGACCACATATAATAAAGGCAACACAGACCAGTTTGAAAGACTACTCCGACCACATATAATAAAGGCAACACAGACCAGGTAAAAGACAACTTGGACCACTTATACATTTAACAAAGACAACACTGACAAGTTTGAAAGACAACTTAGACCACTCATAATGAAGACAACACAATAATTTAATGACAACTCGCACCACTTATATGGCACTTTTTTTCTCCAACAAATAACAATATATTCACTGTTAACATTATCTTGTTGAATCCGTCATGATCTCTCAACTAATTTTCTATAGTTGTCTAATCGTCTAAAAGTTGTCTAATCGTCTAAGAGTCGTCTAATCGTCTAAGAGTTGTCTAATCGTCTAAGAGTTGTCTAATTGTCTAAGAGTTGTCTAATCGTCTAAGAGTTGTCTATAATAAATCTATTTGATCCCAGTTCATTTGTCTTTAAAAATGTCACCAAAAAGCGGTTTAAGATGTCTTTGAAACTGATTTGATGCATCCTTAAATGGATTCAACCAGTGTTTCAAAGTGGTCCAAGTTGACTGTCTTTCAAAGTGGTCTGACTGTCTTTCTTACTGTTCCAAGTTGTCTTTAAATTAGTCAGAGTTGTCTTTGCAAGGGTTAATATGGACTACCACATTGAAACTTTTTAATGTTTTACTGCCGGACATGTCATATACATTTGTTATTATTTATCATGTTTACAACACATGGAACAAACAAAAAAAACCACTCAAACTCCATTTATATAATAAGATAATAATTTGTATATAAGTGACCCCTGATATGTAGATGTAAATATAATTTACGATTGCCTTTTTTTAAATACATTTCAGAGTGGTATACTTGAACATTGCTAACCCTACAGCAGGTACTGGAGTTTGTGTCAGATTTGAAGGTTATGAACATTGTAAGTGAATAAGTCATTTATCAGTTTTCAAGCAAAGTGATTTAAAGTATTGTATAACAGAACTGTCTGTGTGCATGTAGAACATTGTACAGCATGAGGATAGATATATATATGGAATATTCAGCAACAGTGCACAAGAACTGTTAACCGAACATTTAAATTGAAAGTGAAGGACTTTTATTGTGGATAATCCTTGAAAAAAGCCTTCTGCTGAAATGTTGGTATTGAAATAATACTATAATAATTTGTTTTTTTGTGTAGTTGGGTTGCTGTTTTATTAATGTATGCCTACATGTACCGTCTCTTTTTATCATGTTTATTTATATATATGTATAAAATGTAAAATAATTGTTTTTTATAGTTATTTACAATTCTGGTATAAGAGATGATCCTGAATATTTGGTAAAGAAGCAGTATATAGATTGTCCTTTTGACCTTTATAAATCTCAAGGTAAGTGTTTATTTGATCCTTTGTATAGTTTGTTCTCATGTTGTTATGTTACACCACTGTCTCGGGTTATGGGAAGAGTTGAGTACTCATGAAGATTCTTAACCCCACCACATTCTTCATGTCCCTGTCTCAACCCAGGAGTGTGTAATCCAGTGGTTTTCATTGGGGCTAGCAATGTCCATCAACATTTTTTTTTTATGGATGAAGCAAAGATTAGACCTTTGGTTTTCTCTTTTGTATTTCCCCCCTTTTTTCATTATTGGGTATTCATAGCTTACTATTCAGTTTGTGTTTTTTCATTGTTGAAGGCTTATGGGTCACCTGTAATTGTTCACATCTTTGTGTCCTTGGTCTTTAATGGAAATCCCGTCATTTTTATAGAAGCTCCTACATGTCCAAGTAGCTTGTGTCATTTACCTTGCAAATCAAGAGAAGATTACTTCTAACAAATGAACCTACTGATGGTTTTGATTTCATCAATCTAATAAACTTTCAAAAGTAATACACATATGTGTTCTCTATATTTATTGTGGGAACTGTTAACCATTTACATAGATAAAAAGCAGGCCAGTCATGAAAGTTGTATTTTTTTTTCTATGTGGAGGCAAAAGTCTCTCACTGTTTCACAAATCAAATTATCAATTTAAAAAAAAATCTCCAAAATAGGAAGGCAAAATTTTTGAACTTTTAAGGGGTTAATGATTTGAAGTCACTCATTAATGTTGATAAGGTGGCATACAATGTACATTTTGTTATTGGTGGCACATAGTTCCTATTGCAAGCTTAATCTTATGGACAATTTTCTTCGCTGAAAGTGCTTGGCCAACACTGAAAAACTTTTCAGGAATTATATAAGAATGGTTCTCTACAAATGATCTATTTTTGGTTCTGATCATATCAAAGTAATGGCAGCCTTTGATTCTGATTGGCCAGTTTTTACAGATTTTTTCAAAACAAATAAGCAAAAACATTTTGAAAGATTAGTGGATTGATGGAATCATTAACTAAAAGACATAAGAACTGATCTAAGCGTATTCATAGCTACCCTAGTTTACTATAAATAATCATATTTTATTTCAAAAAATCATGTACATGACATATATATATAAATGCAGTAATATATAAATACAATGGGATTTGGAAACAAGGTTTTCCTTATATTATTATATACTCTAGTTTGGTGGGCGGAAACTACCATGTAGACATAAAAGTGAATAATATGAACTGAAGATGGTCAATTACGCCAACATGTCCTATATTAGTAGACAATCAATGGTAAACACATAAAATGATAATTTTTTTTTTTCAGATAATCTTGGTATTGGTAGTTATGTTTTCCCCTTCAGATTCCAGCTGTTGAATGATTTACCAGGTATAGATTAATTGTGATCAAAGACAATACTTACAGTGACATTTATAGTATTATTTATTGTATATAGATTAGATAAAAATATATACCACAGATTTTTATGAAGATTTTGGATATGTAATTTTGGTATGTTTAACATAAACTGTGAAAAGTAAAAAAAAACAGTTAATTTATCTCTTGTTTTTCTGTGTCAAATCAAAGAATTTAAGATTAGTATATTTGCTGCTTCTCTGCCAAGCAAAAGACATTTAGCAGTAAGAGCAATAGTGTGTCTGTTGTGGGAGACATGAATTCCTCCAGCCAATTAAATTGCAAGCTAGAGCATTAGATATCTGACTCAGCATGTCAGTCTAGTACAATAGAAAAACATTTTATAATCATTTTGTAAGGATCAAACAAAGAAAAAATAATTTTTTCTGAGATACATTTGATGGACTGAAAGACATACAAGGTAAACCTTTATACATACCTCTTTGGTGAGCATATATAGAGAGGGCAGACAGACAGACAGCAGATGGACATCATACCATAATATAGTACATAAAAGATTAACAGAAATTACCAACAATATTGGACAGCATATATATGGATGGCAAACAGACGACAGATGGACATCATACCATGGTATAGTACACAAAAGGATAACAGAAATTACCAACAATATTGGACATCATATATAGAGATGGCAAACAGACGACAAACAGAAAAAGATGTACAAAGACAAAAAAAAAACAACGATCAACACCCATCTTCTCTCTCAGAAATAGATTTACAAAGACAAAAAAACAACCATCAACACCCATCTTTTCTCTCAGAAATAGATTTACAAAGACAAAAAAAAAACAACCATCAACACCCATCTTCTCTCTCAGAAATAAATGTACAAAGAAAAAAAAAAAACAACCATCAACACCCATTTTCTCTCTCAGAAATAGATGTACAAAGACAAAAAAAAAACAACCATCAACACCCATCTTCTCTCTCAGAAATAGATGTACAAAGACAAAATAACAACCATCAACACCCATCTTCTCTCTCAGAAATAGATGTACAAAGACAAAAAACCAACCATCAACACCCATCTTCTCTCTCAGAAATAGGTGTACAAAGACAAAAAAAACAACCATCAACACCCATCTTCTCTCTCAGAAATAGATGTACAAAGACAAAAAAAAAAACAACCATCAACACCCATCTTCTCTCTCAGAAATAGATGTACAAAGACAAAAAAAAAACAACCATCAACACCAATCTTCTCCCTCAGAAATAGATGTACAAAGACAAAAAAACACAACCATCAACACCCATCTTCTCTCTCAGAAATAGATGTACAAAGACAAAAAAAAAAACAACCATCAACACCCATCTTCTCTCTCAGAAATTGATTTACAAAGACAAAAAAAAAACAACCATCAACACCCATCTTCTCTCTCAGAAATAGATGTACAAAGACAAAAAAACAACCATCAACACCCATCTTCTCTCTCAAAAATAGATGTACAAAGACAAAAAAAAACAACCATCAACACCCATCTTCTCTCTCAGAAATAGATGTACAAAGACAAAAATAAACAACCATCAACACCCATCTTCTCTCTCAAAAATAGATGTACAAAGACAAAAAAACAACCATCAACACCAGGGCTTCCAAAAAATATTTGAGCCAGCCGGACATTTTATATCTGATCCGGATTTTAATCCCTTAAGACTAAGTAACAAAAGGCAATCATGGTAATCAGATGGCCATCCCAATGATTGACATTAGATTAAAAAAAAACGATATTAAACTTTACTTTGATGTGAATTTGATGTTCGGACGTAAACTGTTAAATTGGCAGTGCATAATTCGAAGAGCTCATAAATGCCTTAGACTCTTTATTTGTGCAAAATTACGTTGTCAAAAACTTTACTTTCGTTTTTAAAATCACATTTTCCTTATACCGGATGTTGACCTGACAATGGTAAAACATGGACCAGAAACGGATACGTAAAATCCGTATACGTTTACAAAGCAGGACTGAGTGAAGAAGCTCTTTCCACGTTATTTCTTCAACAAAATACTTGAAATGAACATTAGATACAAGTATCAATGATAATTTTTATCATTTTTTAAGAAATGTAGGATGCATAATTAAATTTCCCTACTGCGCACATGCGCACACGTGTTCTAGTTCATACAACGTAGTTCTTACGATTTTTCATTTAAAACCTTTTTTAAATTTTTCATCAAATCATGTTTATAAACGTATTTCTTATAATTTCAATCTTTTGGACAAAATCAATTAGATAGAAACCGCTGAAATGTAAGAAATTCACTTTGAATAGACCGATCAATTTATACGATGTCCAGTACTGGAAATAGTTTACCTGTCACCTGAACAGGTAGATTTCAGCTGTCCAACAACTAATTAGCCTTGATTAAAATTAGAATGTATTGAAGTAGGGGTTGTTTTGATAGTAATTAATCATCATGTTACTTTTATGACCGGAAATGTGTGGCTGTTAAAGGCAAAAGGTTGGGTCAAAAAGATCGCGAATTATTCTACATTTTTGCTAAAATGACCGTCTCTTAAGAAAGCCTTGACAACTAAAAAGTAGATGACCGTTTCATGCTTTGCCCAGCCGGACTTTTACCGGACATTATACAATTGTCCGGAATATATGACCGTTTTGGAAGCCTTGATCAACACCCATCTTCTCTCTCAGAAATAGATGTACAAAGACAAAAAAAAACAACCATCAACACCCATCTTCTCTCTCAGAAATAGATGTACAAAGACAAAAAAAACAACCATCAACACCCATCTTCTCTCTCAGAAATAGATGTACAAAGACAAAAAAAAACAACCATCAACACCCATCTTCTCTCTCAGAAATAGATGTACAAAGACAAAAAAAAAACAACCATCAACACCCATCTTCTCTCTCAGAAATAGATGTACAAAGACAAAAAAAAACAACCATCAACACCCATCTTCTCTCTCAGAAATAGATGTACAAAGACAAAAAAAAACAACCATCAACACCCATCTTCTCTCTCAGAAATAGATGTACAAAGACAAAAAAAAACAACCATCAACACCCATCTTCTCTCTCAGAAATAGATGTACAAAGACAAAATAACAACCATCAACACCCATCTTCTCTCTCAGAAATAGATGTACAAAGACAAAAAACCAACCATCAACACCAATCTTCTCTCTCAGAAATAGCTGTACAAAGACAAAAAAAACAACCATCAACACCCATCTTCTCTCTCAGAAATAGATGTACAAAGACAAAAAAAAAAACAACCATCAACACCCATCTTCTCTCTCAGAAATAGATTTACAAAGACAAAAAAAACCAACCATCAACACCCATCTTCTCTCTCAGAAATAGATGTACAAAGACAAAAAAACAACCATCAACACCCATCTTCTCTCTCAGAAATAGATGTACAAAGACAAAAAAAAAACAACCATCAACACCCATCTTCTCTCTCAGAAATAGATTTACAAAGACAAAAAAAACAACCATCAACACCCATCTTCTCTCTCAGAAATAGATGTACAAAGACAAAAAAACAACCATCAACACCCATCTTCTCTCTCAGAAATAGATGTACAAAGACAAAAAAACAACCATCAACACCCATCTTCTCTCTCAGAAATAGATGTACAAAGACAAAAAAAAACACCCATTAACACCCATCTTCTCTCTCAGAAATAGATGTACAAAGACAAAAAAAAAACAACCATCAACACCCATCTTCTCTCTCAGAAATAGATGTACAAAGACAAAAAAAAAACAACCATCAACACCCATCTTCTCTCTCAGAAATAGATGTACAAAGACAAAATAACAACCATCAACACCCATCTTCTCTCTCAGAAATAGATGTACAAAGACAAAAAACCAACCATCAACACCAATCTTCTCTCTCAGAAATAGGTGTACAAAGACAAAAAAAACAACCATCAACACCCATCTTCTCTCTCAGAAATAGATGTACAAAGACAAAAAAAAAACAACCATCAACACCCATCTTCTCTCTCAGAAATAGATGTACAAAGACAAAAAAAAACAACCATCAACACCCATCTTCTCTCTCAGAAATAGATGTACAAAGACAAAAAAACACAACCATCAACACCCATCTTCTCTCTCAGAAATAGATGTACAAAGACAAAAAAAAAAACAACCATCAACACCCATCTTCTCTCTCAGAAATAGATTTACAAAGACAAAAAAAACAACCATCAACACCCATCTTCTCTCTCAGAAATAGATGTACAAAGACAAAAAAACAACCATCAACACCCATCTTCTCTCTCAAAAATAGATGTACAAAGACAAAAAAAAACAACCATCAACACCCATCTTCTCTCTCAGAAATAGATGTACAAAGACAAAAATAAACAACCATCAACACCCATCTTCTCTCTCAGAAATAGATGTACAAAGACAAAAAAACAACCATCAACACCCATCTTCTCTCTCAGAAATAGATGTACAAAGACAAAAAAAAAACAACCATCAACACCCATCTTCTCTCTCAGAAGTAGATGTACAAAGACAAAAAACAACCATCAACACCCATCTTCTCTCTCAGAAATAGATGTACAAAGACAAAAAAAAACAACCATCAACACCCATCTTCTCTCTCAGAAATAGATGTACAAAGACAAAAAAAAAACAACCATCAACACCCATCTTCTCTCTCAGAAATAGATGTACAAAGACAAAAAAACAACCATCAACACCCATCTTCTCTCTCAGAAATAGATGTACAAAGACAAAAAAAACAACCATCAACACCCATCTTTTCTCTCAGAAATAGATGTACCAAGACAAAAAAACAACCATCAATACCCATCTTTTCTCTCAGAAATAGATGTATAAAGACAAAAAAAATACAACCATCAACACCCATTTTCTCTCTCAGAAATAGATGTACAAAGACAAAAAAAACACCCATTAACACCCATCTTCTCTCTCAGAAATAGATGTACAAAGACAAAAAAAACAACCATCACATGGTCCACATATGTTTATTTCTGAAAAGTTAAAAAAAAAATTGTCAGAACAGCAAATTTGTTATGTATCTAATGGATATCATAATACTATAAAGGTATGTTAAATCAGTCAAAGAAACAGAAAACTATGTTCCAAGATTGACCATTTCAATCAAATCAATGTATATTTTCATTACAGGTTCTTACAAAGCCTCTAGTGCAGGAGGGGACAAATGGTGGAAGGCCAGAATACAGTACTGGATATCAGCAGAATTGATTCATGCTGAATCTGTAAAGGTATAGATCAAATAACATTTGTAAGGAAAGAAAAGGTTGAAATATAAGAAAAAGAAAATTTACTCTTTAGATGTTTTAAGTTCATTTATACAAAAGATAGCAAAACTACAATATTAACTAAACAAAAATACTTGATTATATCCTTTCAATGTCCTATCCTATGAACAATATAAAAATAACGAGATGAGGTATGATTGCCAATGAGACAACTATCCACCAAAGTTCAAATAAAGTGGATGTAAGCAATTATAGGCAACCGTAGGGCCTTCAACAATAAGAAAAACCCATACCGTGTAGTCGGCTATAAAAGGCCCCGACATGAAAAATATGAAACAATTCAATTGAGAAAACTGATGGCCTAATTTATAACAAAACAATTAACAAAAAACAGAAATGACAGACATGAACCAATGACAACCACTGAACTACAGGCTCCTGACATGAACGTGGCGGGGTTAAACATGCTTGTGAGCGCTCAACCCTTCCCCTAACATGGGACAGTGGTGTAACAGCACAACATGAGAACAAACTATAAAAATCAGTTGAAAAAGGCTCAACTCATCAGTTTACATTTTTGGGGTAGACAATTTGTGTCTATTGTTAAAAGACTATTTGTTGTCATCTACTGGTAAATGTCTAGGTCACATATGTTAATGGTTGCTGTCTCTTTATGATAATCTTTTTTGTGTGTGCTTCATATCTCCTTTTATTTACATCAATTAATTTGTTCACAGCATAGGGCGATTTAGATCTTGACATATGATATAGTCACTTGTCGATTGTCCTTGTTTTTGAAGACTGTCTTGTAACCACTATATGTACCAATCTTTATTCCTTGAATTGTGTGATTGATTTACATTGTCTCATTCACATATTCACCACATCTTCTTTGATTTTTTTTACATATCTTTAATAACAATGATTTGTTTATTATCCTTTCGTTATTCTTGCTTCTCAGGTTTTAGGATTTCAACAGTTGATATTTAACAGTATCCAATGAATCATTTTAACGACCTGTTGACAAGTGTTGTGTACACAATCTTACCACAATGTAATTTCAGCATTGTTTGTCAGATTGATTGATTGGTGTTTGCTTTACACCACATCAGCTCAAAAAGGCTATATCCCGACAATCATTTTTCAGACTAAAGTACAATATTATGTAGCTTTGCTCTTATAATTCTTATATGATATATTGATAATTATTTTAGATTGTATGCTAAAACTGCTTTACTATTTTTAGGTTACCCAAGATGTTGTAATAAATCAAGCTTTGCCTAATACAGTAAGACCATCAGGTCCAACTCAGAATACAATAGAAACTATAGATATAGCTAAACTTCCATTGTATAGTAGGAAATTATCTGTGACTGCCAGGTTAGTTTCATATTCTTATATTAATGTATTGTTTTGTTTCTGAGGTTTTATATGGAAATGCAGTGACAAACCAACTATGTAAGTTCTCAGATACTGTATTACAAAATTTGTCTTACAAAGATCGATAATAAACATATTCCTTTATTTGTCGTAAGAATATGGTAATTTTGAATTGAATAGGTATTTTCATGACTATAAATCCAATGTTCATATGCTGGTGATTATAATGGTTACACAAGAGGAAAATATGAGTCAACCAGGAAAAGAAATCTGTTTGAAATTCACCAGTATTGTTGAGTTATCTCCCATTTTCAAAAAGTGTAAACTGGCAAGAAATTAAAATATGTGGATTTTTTTAGATTTGTATTTATTTGGATATTGTAGAATTATGTTAAAACAGCAGAAAATAGAGAAAAAAAAATTTGTTACTTATTTTGGTAAAAATTATAAAAGCAGTATTAATATGTAATATAAGGAATAAATTTTAAATTGAATAGATATTTAGAAAAAAAGATGAAAAGACTTTTTTCTATGTTCAGATTTTATTAAAGTTTCACCACTTGTAAAACATAAAACACTTGAATACATATATAAAACATAATGTTTAACATTGTTAATTTTTAGGTTGTTTGAACATATTCATATATCTGGTGGTGTAGCTAGATTAAGAATCATCATCACAAATAACACAAAAGTCAATGTGAAGACAATATATGTCAAAGTAAGTACCCGGTACTTTGCACTTTTGGATCTTCTCCATTATTTCTATGTTTCTATGTCTTAATCAAATCCTGACCATACCATTATATCTTGTATACAGGCTGTCAGTTATATTGTCACAGTGCACAATTGCATATTTTTTTGATACCGTAGAAAGGCTTGTATAGTTCGCACTGGTACATAGTCCGCACCCCCTTCTCCCCACGAAATTTTAGGTAAAAAAACTTTTTGTAACTGTTAGAAAAGGTCTAATGAAACTCCGGTAATTTCAAATCCTGTGCGGTCGTTTGCGGTATTTTCTTGGAAAAACCTGTTTTTCATCATCAAACAGAAGCTGAAACTGCTTGTAAATGATTCTAGAACGCTTCATGATTGTTAAAATAAGTTTAATTCACTTAAAAAACAATTTAGAAACTTGTGTATGTTTAAACAGGAAGTTTAAAAAGAACGTGTAAAAGAAGAAATTAACCGGTGAGAGTCGAAATCCGTACATAACAGATATCACTATAATACGACTTTGAAAGTAAAACAGTTCCATCTTTTTGTAAAGCAGTCTTTAATATATCTATCACATTAATGTTTGAAGGGTCTTAAGCTAATACAAATCATATTAGTCAGTATGAAACACCAAAACAGAACGAACAATAACCGATTGCGTTTTGTAGTTTACAAATTCTAAGCTGGTTTACGGTTGTCTTTTTCACTATGTTTGTTTCGTTTCAATCAAGCAGATACCAGTTTATTTCAACCAATGCATTGAAAAGAAACGAGAAATTTGTAATGAAAGGTTTAGTTTTTATATTTATCAGTATTAATTTGATATTGAATAGAAATAACTTATTAATATGGATGAGTTAAAATTATTAGTTTGAAAAATGATAAGAGCGCCCTCTACAATATAAATAACAAAGATGGCGGAACGTAAACAAACCACCTCGCCCGCGAAATTGAAATTTTTCTCTTATTTCTTGCTTATTGTACTCTATAGTCCGCACCCCGTCTGGAAGGTCCAATTTTGGAGAATAAAACCGCGGACTATACAAGCCTTTCTACGGTATATAATTTTCTTTCATTATTGTTCAAACAGAGTAAAAATCTACCTGTATTTAGTGTCTACAGACCTAGCAAACCTAGAGAGTGTATTTATGTGCCATTTTCATGAATTTGTGTCCAAGTGCCTCAATTCAGATAGTTTTATTGCAACAAGAATAAAACACAAACATAAATATGTAACTTAGCGTTATTAAACTAGATACAGAAATTTAGAATATATGAAAAGAGGAAGGACTAAACAACAAAATTAGTAAAGGATGTATGAGGATAAAACTATGCCCCAGTCTACTAGTTGCAGTCATTGGATTCAAAATTTAATTGCCCAAAACAACATTAACACTTTTTTTAGAAAAAAAATACAAAAAGCACACTCTTTTTAAGTACCAACAAAGCTGAAAAAAGACAGCTTTATATTTTTTCAAAAAATATGACTGTTAATTTAATAGGCCATCATGGAAATTGAAATAGCTAACAAGAGATCTGATTTTGCAAGTCCACAAATGGTACACGATTTATTGCTTTTACTTTCTGAAATAAAAAAATATTCATTTGGGAGTTAAGAGTCAGTGTGATAACTGGAAACCAAAATTTTTAGCAAAGATGCATGAAGTTCAAAAATTTTTTAAACATGATGATATCAGGCGGGTGGAGAATTGTCTATTATTATTAATCAACTCCTGCTACAGATTTCCATTTCCACTGCTCAAGAAACCTTTTGTGCAAGCCTGTCATTTGAGTCTCTCAACAATTTTGTATTGTTATATATTCCATTTATAGTTATTTGGTGTTTTTGCCCTTATGACAAAAGGACAAAAACTGAACCCAGATGATCCATGTGTGACAGAGATTGATGATAATGTTATTATTGAACCTACAGAAAATCCACATCTTATTTGGGAGGCCATGCCAGTTGAAGGATGTAATTCTGAAATTCTTAATACGTAAGTGTGAATAAAATCATATTCTATCCAAATCAAATAATGTCAGATGGAGAAAAATTATCTTCAGTATGCATAGCTGGTATGGTTTATCACAAATATAATTATAGTTTATTACATGTACAAGCAGTGAAAAAATTATTGAAATTTATAATTTTGACATTGTTATACAGTGACAATGAGACAAATATAGAATTTGAAATTAAAGGGTCCATTGAACTTGAATAAGGTTTAATGAGGTGTTATCTTAGACAGAAAACTGGAAAGAAAAATTTGTTTGCGAAAACGAAAACGTAAATGTAGCAATGACTGTAATCAGTTCATCAAATTCTTTCAAACAGTTTATAACAGCCACTCGTCATCATCATCTTATAAAAACAGTTATGTCTACCACCTGTCATATCAAATTGAAATCCTTTAATATTCAGTCTTTATTTGTTATTTCTTGGCCAATCACTTGATTCTTAAATATGTTTTAATATTTTTAAGTGATTGCATATTAGTTTTGAACTTTGGACTACAGAATCTCCTTATTTGCTTCATTAAAACAAACAAAAACAAAAAAAAACGATTATTTTTCAACAGGGGTATTGACAATGTGCATGTTCCACTACAGTATAAAGATGGCTCACCACTACCTCCTACAGTCAGTAGTAAATATCATATAAAGGTAAAGTACCATTGTGTTTGTATATAAAACTCATCAAAGATATAGGATTATAATTTTGTATGCCAGACGTGTGTTTCATCTGCATAAGACTAATCAGTGGCACTTGATTCAGTATCCTACCTGCTGTTATCACTGAGATTTATTTCTATCATCTGATTGTATTTCTCATGTTTATATTTTTAAAGATGTACACCTCTGAGGAGCCAAAAATTTCTTGAATCAAACTTTTTTTCTTTTTGATGTCATATATTGGTATGACGTTGGCGTCGTCGTCCGAAGACACATTGGTTTTCGCACAATAACTTTAGTTTAAGTGAATGGATCTCTATGAAATTTTACCATAAGGTTCAATACCACAAAAGGAAGGTTGGGATTGATTTTGGGGGTAATGGTACCAACGGTTAAGGAATAAGGGGCCAAAAAGGGGCCAAAAATAAGCATTTTTGTAACTTCCAGACAATAACTTGTGTGTTAGTGTATGGATCTCTCTGACATTATACCACAAGGTTCCATTTCACAAAGGAAATGCTGGGATTGATTTTGGGGGTAGTTGCCTCAAAATTTTAGGAATTCAGGGCAAAAAAAGGGGCAAAAAAAAAGCATTTTTCTAGTTTCATGACAATAACTTGTGTGTAAGTGTATGGATCTTTCTGAAATTGTACTACAAGGTTCCATATCACAAAGGGAAAGCTGGAATTGAGTTTGGGGGTAATTGCCCAAAACGTTTAGGAATAAGGGGCCAAAAATAAGCATTTTTCTAGTTTCCAGACAATAACTTGTGTTCAAGTGTATGGATCTCTCTGAAATTGTACTGCAAAGTACCATACCACAAAGGAAAGGCTGGGATTGATTTTGGGGGTAATTGCCTCAAAATTGTAGGAATTAGGGGCCAAAAAGGGGCAAAAAACAAGCATTTTTCTAGTTTCAGGACAATAACTTGTGTGTAAGTGTATGGATCTTTATGAAATTGTACTACAAGGTTCCATATCACAAAGTGAAAGCTGGGTTTGAGTTTGGGGGTAATTGCCCAAAACGTTTAGGAATAAGGGGCCAGAAAGGGGCCAAAAAACAAGCATTTTTACAGTTTCCAGACAATAACTTGTGTTCAAGTGTATGGATCTCTCTGAAATTGTACTGCAAGGTACCATACCACAAAGGGAAGGCTGGGATTGAGTTTGGGGGTGATGAATCATAAGGGGGTTCAAAAAATTGGGGGGGGGGGGGGTTCCTTTTTTTTTCTTTGAAATTTTCCATTTTAAATTGGTTATTTCTGATTTATATATAAAAGCAAATAATAATGATATGGTTTGTATTGGTAAATTAAAATTTTTTAAGTTCTTAGACCACATTCATTCTGTGTCAGAAACCTATGCTGTTTCAAATATTTAATCACAATCTAAATTTAGTGCTGTATCAAGCTTGAATGTTGTGTCCATACTTGCCCCAACTGTTCAGGGTTCGACCTCTGCGGTCGTATCAAGCTGCGCCCAGCGGAGCATTTTATTGGGTTTATATAACTGTAAAAAAGTAATTGATGGAGAAAAAATCATATGGTGGTGCACTTCTTTTTTTTGCTACGGCCATTTGAAAGTACCCCATTTTTTTTATATTCCCATTTTTCATCAATTTTTACGCATTTTTAGGCTATTATCATGAAAAAAATCACAGTTTCACAATTATACTTTTTTTCATACTTTCACTGAAGATAAAGTGGACCAATCTGAATAAATTTAACTTAAAAAAAACTATAGGTAGGTGTTAATATAAAGAAAGTTTTATAAAATTTTGTTGCTTTTTAGTGTCCAATTGACCATGCTGTAAATTTTATAAATTATGGATTTTTCTCCTTTTTTTAGAACAAAAAGCATATTTTATCAACTTCTTTGTTATGATGATGGAAAAAATACAAATTTAAGAATTTTGAAAAGAAAAAAGTGTATGTTGGGATGTACATATTTTTGGTGAAATCATTTCTTTGTACACTTCACCCATTTTCTCACATTTTGGCTGATGACACTGACCGGATTGCTTATAAAAATTGAAAATTTTATTACTCAAAAACTACTTATTGTAAGTACACAATTTTTTCACATAGTTTAGTTTGATTATAATATTATTTAAATTCATTAATATTATCCACTTGTATCACATGTTTTGGAAATAATTTCCGATTGAGATTTAACGAGACTGAAACATCAGAAGAATACATCCTTAAAAGCTGTTGAAATATTTCTGATATGTTCCCAATATTTTCCTGATCATGTATAAAAACTGGTATTGCATTATACTGGTAAATTCAAATATGCAATTAAAGATGGTCATCAAAAATTTTTTTTTTTAAATCTCGAAAAGAACTCTTTTTTTCCTTATGTGCCTGGAAACTTGATATAAATTCATTTGACTTACAAGGTATTTTGTTTAATTTTGTACATGATATTTACACAAAAGAGTAGGAAAAGAGTTAAAAAGTACTTGGAAATATTTTATTTTTTACATTTGACTTATCTTTAAACAGTTTTAACTTTACTGATGATGAATTTTTCAGTGTACATATGAAATAGAAGTGATAGTGGAATTAGAGAATTTGAAGAGAGCCTCTCTGATGCTACCTCTTCACTGTGTTAGACACACTCAGGATGACACGGTAAGTACTCATTAAGGACTCGTAATTCCTAGCTAGTTCCCATTACATTGTTTTCATATTCATTGCTCATCGTCTCCCTATTTACCCGATACTTACTGCAAACCAAATTATATTTGTGAAAATGTTATTTCGAGTTTATCCCATTTTAGCCAACTTAGCCATGTTAGCTGCTATTTTTTTTCACGATTTTTTAAAATTTCTTGACGAATTTATAGAAGTTTTACATATTCAGAATGATTTGAATTTGTGTTTTACTTTCTACTCATAAAATAAATAGATATTCTTCCATATTATGATTTTTAATGTACCATAGTTTACCAAGTGGTAAATGGAAATAACACTTTATAAAATTGTGTTTCTGAAGCGTTTCATCTCAAGATCTTCTAAATTAATTGTTTCTTTACAGTGGTCTAAATGGCAGGCTCCACAGTGGGTGTATGACACAGAAATACTGACATCGAGCTCTCGCTTCAGTGTACCAGAAAATGTGTTAAGTAAGTTCATGTCATCTCAGCTATTTAACATTTATCATCTTTAGGTTGATGTGTGAATTTCTTTTCATTAATATGATTCAGAGAACTAGGCTCTGTTATATGTTCAACTCTTTGTTATTGATACGATCATAATTTTCACCTGTCAATCCGTCAGTCATTTTGGCTTCCAGATGCTAACTCAAATACTTCTTATCATATTGTATCTTAAGGGGATATATGGTGACATACAATGAAAGGAATATTCCTACTGATGTTGGTCACCAAGTATAAGGTCAAGGTAAGAGTTACTAAATGTAGACAAAAAATTGTGTCGAAAACTGTTTTCTGGATGTTAAATCCATTACTGAATATGGGATTGGATTCTTTCTTGAGTTTATGTTCACTAATAAGGAGAGGAAGATCTTTATTGATTTTAAGGTCACTAGGTCTAAGGTCATGGTCAAAGTTACTAAAAATAATAGGTGACCAAAATTTATGGTCTGTATTGGATATGTGATTAGACATATAGATTTTGAAGTCACTAGGTCTAAGGTCTTTGTTATTAAAAAAACTTTGCCATCATATCACTTTAAGCCATTCCTCTTCAAATCAGGGGTTTTGGGTACATGAGGTTGGAAATACCAAAAACTCCAGTAGTGAAACATTCATTCGGGGGAAGTGTTTACATTCACAGTATTGAAAAAAGGTTGAAAAACTTAATAGGCCTGCATACAAACATGCCTCCATTTCTCCAGCATCTTTTTGATTATTAGATTGCTACTTTAGAATAAATTGAAAGTTCAGCCTGAGGGAGTTTCATCCTTAGTTTTAGTACAGCTGCATAGCAAAAAAACATAATTTCAGATACAACAATGTATTCACGGCCTCTGATATTGTAAATTGGCTATACAAAAATAAACTTAAAGTATGCATGAAAGTGTTCAGTAATTTGCAGGGTATCTTGATTTTGCCCCTATATATTTCTTTTCAAAATATTGAAATTTTTCTGGATTTTCAGATTTTGTGCATGTAATTACCCATGTTATAAAGTGACAGGGAAAGTTTTGGAACCATTAGTCTGTTGTGAGCGAAACATAGGTGATCAAAAGTTTTAAGTATGTGTAGGAAAATGATCTCATTTTATTTTCAGACGGACCTGCATTTTCTGGAATACCAAGATTTCAACCTTTGAGCTGACAGGAAAAGATGATGTAAAAATCCATTTAGCAATTAATTAATTTTCCATATATATGCTGTTAAGCATCATTTTCTATATTATTTGAAACAGTTTTTCCTAAAGCCATTTATACTGTTTCTCCACTATTATCTCTGGTATGTCAATCCTGATGAATAAAAGACAAATTAATGTGAGACTTTCTCTCATTTCAAGTGTATTGGCAAAAGAGAGACAACTGCAAACTCTTATTCTTAAAAACCTTTTTTTTATTCCAATATCAGAGTTGATAATTATATAATTGGAAATGGGAGACAAAGAAAAATTACAAGCTAAACTTGATGCTTTAAATTTATTTCAAGAGTGCTGTTTTTCATTTTAGAAGACTTTAAGATCTTTGGTCTTGATTGAAAATTTTGACCTGATATTTTTCTGTTCATTTCAGTGATTTTCATTTTTATGCTATACACAATTTTGTTTTCTAAAAGATAATATATTGTTTCTAATGCACAAACAAATTAACTTATGTAACATGCTTTTTACTATCCCAAAATACTATAAATCACGCAAAAATACATTTACTTATTTAATTATTTCAATTCTTAATTTATAGCCCTGATCAAGTTGTCCCTTTTTAGACAAGAATTATGTGACTGTGCACATCATCATTAAAATGTACCTCCGGGTGTGGGATTTTCTCGCTGTGTTGAAGACCCATTGGTGGCGTTGGGCTGTTTTCTGCTTTTTGGTCGGATTGTTGTCTGTTCTCTTCATTATATAAATATAGTTTTAACTGCGCTATTGGGTAGTTTTATAAACAAAAAACAAGTCATTTTCTTAAGACTTTGTCAAAATTTAACCAGGGCCACATAAATTTTTAGGTGATCATAGAGTCGCATTGCACTTTGAATTCATAGCTAAACAGTTTTATTATACCCCCTCTTTAAAAAAGGTGGGGTATACTGTTTTACTTCTGTCTGTCCTTCCGTCAGTCAATCTGTCAGTCCGTCAGTCCATCCGTCCGTCCCATGAATATTTTTGTCGCATTTTTCTCAGGAACTACTTGACAAGGATTTCTGAAATTTGGTTTCAGGGTTTATATAAGTAAGTTACACCGTGTGATGCGTTTTCAGATTCATCACTCAACAACTTCCTGTTTACCGAAATATTTCGGCAGGGGTATCATCAGTGAGCAGTAGCTCACAGTTTTACTTGTTTTTATTGTTTCTTGTCAGAGGTGGTGAAGTTTCTGTTTTATAATAATATTTACAAACATTTGAGCATGCTCATTTTGTACCATTGTGATTTAAGCACCTAAATATCAATTTTTCATAATTAAGACACACTAAAGGGAGATATCAAATTAATCTAAAACTGATTGCAACCTTTGTAAGGTTTGTGGCACAAGCTTTAGTTTACAAGGAGACAACAGTATACTAGTGTTTCCTGCAGCTTTTGAAAAGGGCAGGGTAATTTTGTTCTCAGAGGGCACTCTTAGCGCGATTGGCTACACTTTAAGGGCACCCTTTGCGCGGTGGACTACACTTTTAGGGTACTCTTTACATAGAAATAAAGGCACTGTAATTCATATTTATTGGTAAGAAATAAAGATATGTATATTAGATTGTTAATTTAATTCCTTTTTTGTAATAAAATTATCACTTCTAGACTCAGCTAATAGAATCTTGATCATGTTCATTGTGCAACTGTCTCATTTCAATCAATAACTCCAGTTATAAACTTGAATATTGGATCACTGAGACTGATTGTCTAAAGATGTGTTGTGAAAGTGGACTTTGCATGACCAAGAGCATACCCAGTAGTCCTGCTTCAATTTTAAATAAATTTTGTTATTAAATAGCAATAATAGTTAATATATTTTTGATACAGATCATAAAGTTGGTGCACAATAATATATAATATTGCACTTGTGCAAATAATGCATCACATCATTGTCACAAAAGCATTTTTAAATTTTTTTTTAAAGCTATGCTTTACAATACAAGGGTTATTGCATGCAAATTGGTGAATATTATCCATCTTAAAATAAATATTGCACTCCCACTCTTGCACTATAAAAATCTAATCAAGACAAGATTCACGAACTATCATGCAATAACCCTATATTATTAGTATTCATCTGCTGTTAAAATTTTAATAGAAGAAGGGTCAGCCACTGTTGAATTTTCTTTATTCAGAGGGTCTGAGTCAAGATCCTACCTTTCCTTTTTAGCTCACCTGACCTGAAAGGTCAAGTGAGCTTTTCTCATCACTTTGCGTCCGTCGTCCGTCGTCCTGCGTCCGTCGTCCTGCGTCCGTCGTCCGTCGTCCGTAAACTTTTACAAAAATCTTCTCCTCTGAAACTACTGGGCCAAATTTAACCAAACTTGGCCACAATCATCATTGGGGTATCTAGTTTTAAAAATGTGTGGCGTGACCCGGTCAACCAACCAAGATGGCCGCCACGGCAAAAAATAGAACATAGGGGTAAAATGCAGTTTTTAGCTTATAACTCAAAAACCAAAGCATTAAGAGCAAATCTGACATGGGGTAAAATTGTTCATCAGGTCAAGATCTATCTGCCCTGAAATTTTCAGATGAATCGGACAACCTGTTATTGGGTTGCTGCCCCTGAATTGGTAATTTTAAGGAAATTTTGCTGTTTTTGGTTATTATCTTGAATATTATTATAGATAGAGATAAACTGTAAACAGCAATAATGTTCAGCAAAGTAAGATTAACAAATAAGTCAACATGACTGAAATGGTCAGTTGACCCCTTTAGGAGTAATTGCCCTTTATAGTCAATTTTTAACCATTTTTCGTAAATCTTAGTCATCTTTTACAAAAATCTTCTCCTCTGAAACAACTGGGCCAAATTAAACCAAACTTGGCCACAATCATCATTGGGGTATCTTGTTTAAAAAATGTGTGGCGTGACCCGGCCAACCAACCAAGATGGCCGCCACAGCTAAAAATAAAACATAGGGGTAAAATGCAGTTTTTGGCTTTTAATTCAAAAACCAAAGCATTTAAAGCAAATCTGACATGAAATAAAATTGTTTATCAGGTCAAGATCTATCTGCCCTAAAATTTTCAGATGAATCGAACAACCTGTTGTTGGGTTGCTGCCCCTGAATTGGTAATTTTAAGGAAATTTTGCTGTTTTTGGTTATTATCTTGAATATTATTATAGATAGAGATAAACTGTAAACAGCAATAATGTTCAGCAAAGTAAGATTAACAAATAAGTCAACATGACTGAAATGGTCAGTTGACCCCTTTAGGAGTAATTGCCCTTTATAGTCAATTTTTAACCATTTTTCGTAAATCTTAGTCATCTTTTACAAAAATCTTCTCCTCTGAAACAACTGGGCCAAATTAAACCAAACTTGGCCACAATCATCATTTGGTTATCTAGTTTTAAAAATGTGTGGCATGACATGGTCAACCAACCAAGATGGTGCCATGGCTAAAAATAGAACATAGGGGTAAAATTCAGTTTTTGGCTTTTAATTCAAAAACCAAAGCATTTAAAGCAAATCTGACATGAAGTAAAATTGTTTATCAGGTCAAGATCTATCTGCCCTGAAATTTTCAGATGAATCGGACAACCCGTTGTTGGGTTGCTGCCCCTGAATTGGTAATTTTAAGGTAATTTTGCTGTTTTTGGTTATTATCTTGAATATTATTATAGATAGAGATAAACTGTAAAAAACAATAAATGTCGGCAAAGTAAGATCTACAAATAAGTCAACATGACCGAAATTGTCAGTTGACCCCTTTAGGAGTTATTGCCCTTTATAGTCAATTTTTAACCATTTTTTCGTAAATCTTAGTAATCTTTTACAAAAATCTTCTCCTCTGAAACTACTGGGCCAAGTTAATTATAGATAGAGATAATTGTAAGCAGGAAAAATGTTCAGTAAATTAAGATGTACAAACACATCACCATCACCAAAACACAATTTTGTCATGAATCCATCTGCGTCCTTTGTTTAATATTCACATAGACCAAGGTGAGCGACACAGGCTCTTTAGAGCCTCTAGTTTCAATCACTGAACGGATTTACAGAGAAACTCAATTTTTAAATTATTAAGCCTCTTTTTATGTCAAGGATAATGTATGGCTATTTTTGTGTAATTTTTTTTTATGGCAATGGTAATATAATTCTCATAAATACCTAATGCTTAAAAAGTATTGGAAAAAAATACTTCCAACCTACTTTACATCGTTATATGATTATTGCTGTTCATGGCCATTTAATTTCTGATTCTGAAGTGCCACTTATTCTTGCCATAATATTGTTAAATAGACATGAACCCATGATGAAGGAGACCTGGTTTTTGTCTTACTGCTCCAGCTACCAGATTCAATTAATCAGTTTCCCTACTAAAGGTAGGTGGTTCTCTCCTTGCACTCTGGCTTCCTCCACCACTGAAAACTGACCGCCACAAAATTTCCAATGTTCTAAAAGTAGCATTAAACACCAATCAATCAATCAATCAATCAATCAATTAATAAGTATGACTTTGTGTCCTGAAGCTAGCATGAACATTTTTGTTTGCTATTGTCACTCTACCTAAATTAGTAGTTTTGGTATGGGAAAAAGTTGAAAAAGAAAATGATTTCTAAAAGTCATTTTTGTCATCCAATTCAATTTTAATCTATGACAAAAGAAATAAACTTTACACAAATTGTTTAAATTAGTAATAAATACATGTTTTTCCATTCTCAATTTCATTTTATCTGTTAACAATGTAAATTTTGAAAATCACCAATAATTCTACTCTCATACCCATGTTATCATGGATGTCTTCTAGTACTGTGGATTCATTATTATTTGTTGGTTACCAATCTTCATGGATTTTGTGGGTATTAGATAATATATTAAATTAGACCACCAATTTAAATGTTAAAGGAATAATAAATTTCTCATAGGATTGTATGCAAACTTTGGCAAAACAAAGAAATCAAGTATCAATGAAGATACAAGTTTTCTTCAATCCATGAAAATTGGTACCCATGGAAATAAATGAATACATGTGTATATTTTAGTTGGACTTTTATTGAAAAAGTATTCTCAAGGACACAAGTGAATAAAACTGTCAACATTTAAAACATATTCAACATCAATTTTTTTAATTTTAAAATCATTGGGCATGCATTAGAATATCACCATTATTTCCATTCCATAGAAAAAGTATTAATTCATCTGACATACATAGTGCACATCTTGTACCACTTAGCTCATAGGTTTAATTGTAATGAAAGTAACACATTATTTATCATTTGCTATTTTAAATCTCAAGGTTACACTTTAAATGATAGCTTTTTATCCATGATATTGTAAAATGCACGAAATCATGCAATAAAATTTAAAAGAAATAATTATGTTGAATGCATAGTTTTGTTATTTATAATGGATGTACCATAATTATACATAGTATGATGAAGTGAAGATTTATTATTATCTTTTTGATAGGTATAACAAGATTTGTACAATATGAGTTTGAATTATTTAGATACAATGAAATGCAAGTTATTATTTATTGTCATTTGTTTCCTCCTAAACATTTTTGTAAAGGGATAGACACATTCTTTACGTTTAAAAAGCACTATTATTGATTAGTAAATCCATATGAATACAAGAAATAATGATACAAACTCTTCACCAGGTGTAATATTATGATACTGAAATCTGTGCTTAATGAAAATTGATATTATTGACTACTTTTAAAATGTCGGTATAAACTACATGCTGTTCATAATTTTGTACCATATTTTGTCATTTATGATGTTATATAATGCTTCCATTTTGTATTACATTCTAACATCTGTAAGAAATATGTAAATGAACCCATGCATCTTTTGTAATCTGTCAAGAAGAAAGATCTTTATGTATCAAAATTAGCAAATTAATGCTTTTAGTTGTTAAAAGCAAATATGCATGGAAGAATGTCAAAAACATTTTACGGTATAGATGTGAATATATTAATTGTTCAGGATCTGCTGAGATCAGCATGTTCCAATTATGTACTTGTGATAATGTATGTCTCATAATCAGCAGGTTAAAGCACTCTGAGCCTGCTTTCAGTATCTGCTATGACACAATATAATTTGACTTTGTTTATATTTTGTTGTATTTGGTATTTCATGATACAGAGACACTTGATTTAATGCTTCTACTGGTTTGATTTTTACAGTGCATACAGTATATTTTTCTTTCATCTACTAATCAAGGTTAGTCTACTAATCAAGGTTAGTCTACTAATCAAGGTTAGATCTTTGATACTTACTGTTTTTAATCACAAATTATTATAGATACTGGACGATTAAAAGCTTGACAGGTTGGTTTATTGCAGGAGACTGTCTCTTGGTTGTTTTTGTTGTTGGGTTGCTGTCTCATTGAAATATACTCCATATATTTTTTTCCATCATGAAAATAACACTTAATGAATTTGGAATGTGTAAATATTTGAGGAACTTCACAGCCAAAAGAGGCTGGTTTAATACTTACAACACTAAGTTTAACCTACAAATTACTAAACATAACATATTTGTTCAAGTTTTTTTTTCTAGATCATACTGATAACCTTCATGTGTTTTGATGTCAAACATGTATTTTATGTTGTATGGTGTTGACTTTAATACAGTGAAAAATAATTAGAGCTTCCCAACTAAACTTACCAAAGATATAAAAGAAATATAAAGTAAATTTAGTGTTTTTGTGAAATTGTTATTTAATTTTATGCTGTTTTTAGTAAATTATACATGATACATTCCAATATTAATATTCACAAAATTTATATTTTTATATCATGGCGTTTTTATACATTTATTTATTGAATTATGAAATACATTAATATTCCATGATATATATTTTATTCATTATTACATTTTATTCTTTTGAAATCCAAGTGCTTGTTATACAATATTGAATTTTCAAACTTTTGAAATGGGAATAGAAGCCAAAAAAACATTACAGTTAACTTCACGTAAGAATTAAAATTGAATAGCTCTTGACCATTAAAGTGTGAATAAAAATGTGCATATTGGGGTTGTTTGCATAAAAACTATTTCACACGAAATATACATCTGGTATTCTAAATTGATCCTCATGGAATCTTTGATCATTTATTTTCAGCCTCTTTCAAGTATCATTTTAAACAGATAAATTAAATAAAAAAATAACTTTATTGAAGTTATGACAAGGTAGATTGATTGTTGTCAGAAGTATTTCTAATGATGATTCAGTTATCGGATTTTTCTGATTTGCCGATGTATCATACATTATATCGCTTTGTTTATCTTACGGAATTGTACTGTTATAGAATTTACCATCCAGAAGTTTGCCATTTAGTAATATCATCTTTTTCATTGTTTTGGCATTAATAGAAAATCAAAGTACTGAAGTACTGAACATCGGATGACCACAAGTTCTTGAGGATGGTCAAAAGCACTTGTCTCAGAAAAAAAACAACATATCTCTTTACCTGAAACTGAGGTTAATGTACAGAGATATATTTTTTTCTGAGACAAGTTCGTGCGTGGATGATGAATAAATGACAGGAAATTCATCTTCACCGTAATAACTACATGTATTATATTGTAGTGATACAAATCAGTATACACTGATTTGTTGTTATATATTATATTAAAATAACAGTTACATACATATATGATTTGCATCCATTTGTATATCATTCGATTCTACTATTCTAATAATAGTGCAATGCAAGTGCATGGTGGACACTTTTCTGTAAAAATTCGATTTTTCTAAGATTGGATACGAGTAGGCATTCATATTTTCCCGCAAAAACAATTACAGAGTTACCGGTCCTTCAAAACGTTCTTTGAGATATTCTTCCGCATGCTTTAACACAATTTTTCGGTACGTGTGCATTGATATTATCAATGATTTTTTTCTTATATATATATATATCTAACTACAAAACATTTTCATATTATTAATTTATGTTGTAAACAAAAATATTTTTATCAGTATTCATTGAAGAGATGTATTTATATCAAACGATACGGAATGTTATTTTGCATTCGTTTATGTGCGCATATTTATCATGTTTATAGATCGGTTACAAACCCAAAACTAATTTACATAATGGAAATCTAGGCGATAGCAATACATCGGGATGACCTCAAGGTCATCGCGATGTAAAAATAAATAGTCCCTAATTTTAAATATGCACATTAAGCTGCTTAGGCAAGTATTAGATATTAATATAATAAGATGGAAGAAGAAAAAAATTGTTTAATCATTTTTTTAACTAATTTTGACTGAATTCCATGTGCAAATTCTATGCAGTCTAGAATAATGAAAAATCTTTTTGTCAGAAAATATTTTAGGTTGATATTTGGGTGGTTTTTTTTTTTTATTGGGGGAGCAGATTTGGTCAATAGAAAATGGATAACAGATTTTAAGCCACTTTTTGTAATATTGAATAACATAACAGACTTAAACTTTACATGTAAATATGATATGAATCAAATATTTTTTTACAATGAATAATGAGTTTATTGAGTTATATCCAGTAAATAGGACACCCTTTATTGTGTTACTTCAATTACTTTTAAAAAAAAGTAAGATACCAATTGGAGTATCTAAAACTTTTAGATGGAGATTAAAGACTACATCATATATAAACATATTGCAATTATAAAACGCCTGGTACTTATATTATTACAAAATTTTACAATATTGATTAGTTACATTTTTTTATATATTTATAAAATGTTAATGTTATAATGAGCTTATGCAGAGACATATGTCTCTGGCTTATGCTTGAAAGGTCTTAATAAATGCATTTAAATATCACTGTTATTCATATTGCTTTGTTTCAGTAATCAGTTATGCCTAATCAGTATACTGTTTAAACGTTTAAATATGACTTTATGTTCCATTATAAAACTCATGTAGACTGTTGATTAAACATAAACCAATTCAAAAAAATATCTCCTGCAACCATCACATAATAATTTATAGAATGTTTACCTATAAGTTTAATGCACAGTATAGACCTATCAAAACAAACATATCCTGTTCAAATAACTAACAAACTGGTGTGTACAAGATCTTGAAAATTCTTTATTGCAATTTTTGGCTGAGTTAGCTAAGTACACTGAACACATGCAGTATGGTGATGTCATGGGAGCGGAGGGGAAAAGTTGAAACCTAATTTGTGTAATCATTCTTCCAATAGTTTTTAACCCACATCCCTGAAACTTCACAGAAGGATTGCACATGCGTTGAAGTTGTGCACCTGCTATTATGGAATTGTTTGAATATTTTTTCTCATTTTCCAGACTTGAGAAAAAGTAAAAAAAAACACAAAAAAAAAACTCCATGGAAAATTGAAAATGGAAAGTCCCTTATCAAATGGCAAAATCAAAAACTCAATCACATCAAATAGATGGAAAACAACTGTCATTTTCCTGACTTGGTACAGACATTTCCTTATGTAGAAATACAGAATTTAGAGTCATTTTTCAGCAAAATTTAAGAAAGACAGTACCTGTTTAGGGTTAATAACTCATCCTACATTTTAACACAGATATTTGCGAGTTCACAGGAAGATGGCACACATGTTAAAATTGTGCAACTACTTGTATGAAATTATTTGTTAATCAACTTCTACAATTATATACCCATATCCCTGAAACTTCAAAGAAAGGTTGCACACATATTGAAATTGTGCAACTGCTATGATAGAATTGGTTGAGGATTTCCTCCTATTTTGTCCAGACTGTTTAGTCATTTTTCAGGAAATTTACAAAAGACGGTACCAGTTCTATGCAATCAACTTCTACAGTTTTCAACCCAAACCCCGAAAACTTCAGAAGAATTTGTGAAAATGAAAGTGTTTGAGGATTTTTTTCCTATTCTGATGAAATTGGGAACGTGTTCATTTTTCATCAAAACTTTAAAAAGTTGGTACAAATTTTGTGTAATCAACTCCTACAGTTTTCCATCCAGATCTTTAAACTTCAGAGAATGCTTGCACAAACATTGAAGTTGTAAATCTGGTATTATGGAATTTCAGGCCTGGGAACTTAATGATTTTTCAGCAAACATTTTCAAAAGATAGTATCTATCCTAGATCTTTGGCAGTTCATTATCCAAACGAATTGTTTAAATATCCAATCTTTTTACAATTAAAATAGTTCCATATATGTTAAGGTTCAGTATTAACCGTTCTCCATTGTTTAGAAAAGATCTGCGCAACCGAGCCATTTGAGTCTTTGATCCATTTTCTAATCATATTTTTAAATTAATATGCAGCTAAATAAACTGGGTTTTTATACGACCGCAAAAAAAATTTGTGGTCGTATATTGGTATGACGTTGGCGTCATCGGCGTCGTTGTCGTCGTCCAAAGACACATTGGTTTTCGCACTCTAACTTTAGATTAAGTGAATGGATCTCTCTGAAATTTCACCATAAGGTTCAATACCACAAGAGGAAGGTTGGGGGTTATGGTACCAATAGTTAAGGAATAAGGGGCCAAAAATAAGCATTTTTGTAACTTCCAGACATAACTTGTGTGTTAGTGTATGGATCTCTCTGACATTGTACCACAAGGTTTCATATCACAAAGGGAATGCTGGGATTGATTTTGGGGGTAATTTCCTCAAAATTTTAGGAATTAGGGGCCAAAAAAGGGACAAAAAACAAGCATTTTTCTAGTTTCATGACAATAACTTGTGTGTAAGTGTATGGATCTTTCTGAAATTGTACTACAAGGTTCCATATCACAAAGGGAAAGCTGGAATTGAGTTTGGGGGTAATTGCCCAAAATGTTTAGGAATAAGGGACCAAAAATAAGCATTTTTCTAGTTTCCAGAAGTGTATGATCTCTCTGAAATTGTACTGCAAGGTACCATACCACAAAGGGAAGGCTAGGATTAATTTTGGGGGTAATTGCCTCAAAATTTTAGGAATTAGGGGCAAAAAACAAGCATTTTTCTAGTTTCAGGACAATAACTTGTGTGTAAGTGTATGGATCTTTCTGAAATTGTACTACAAGGTTACATATCACAAAGGGAAAGCTGGGTTTGAGTTTGGGGGTAATTGCCCTAAACGTTTAGGAATTTGGGGCCAAAAAGGGGCCAAAAAACAAGCATTTTTCTAGTTTCCAGACAATAACTTGTGTTCAAGTGTATGGATCTCTCTGAAATTGTTCTGCAAGGTACCATACCACTAAGGGAAGGCTGGGATTGCTTTTGGGGGTAATTGCCTCAAAATTTTAGGAATTAGGGGCAAAAAAGGGGCAAAAAACAAGCATTTTTCTAGTTTCAGGACAATAACTTGTGTTCAAGTGTATGGATCTCTCTGAAATTGTTTTGAAAGGTACCATGATTGAGTTTGGGGTGATGAATTATAAGGGGGTTCCTTTTTTTTTTCTTTGAAATTTTCCATTTTAAATTGGTTATTTCTGATTTATATATAAAAGCAAATAATAATGATATGGTTTGAATTGGTAAATTAAAATTTTTTAAGTTCTTAGACCACATTCATTCTGTGTCAGAAACCTATGCTGTGTCAAATATTTAATCACAATCTAAATTTAGTAGTGTATCAAGCTTGAATGTTGTGTCCATACTTGCCCCAACTGTTCAGGGTTCGACCTCTGCGGTCGTATCAAGCTGCGCCCAGCGGAGCATTTTATTATGAGTTAAGTCATAAAAAACTGCGACTCACAACAATACAGGAACAAGTCATCTCTCAATTAAAGGGGTGCAATTGATGTTCATAGGAAAAACTTAAATGCCAAAACGTTTACAGATGCCGACAAACAGAAAATTAACAGCTTTAATCATCTCATTACAGTTCAAGTAAGTATATCTATATAACAATCAGAAGATGCGGTATGACTACCAATGAGACAACTCTCCACCCGAGACCAAATGACATAGAAGGTTAGCAACTGTATGTCACCGTATGGCATTCAACAATAAGCATAGGCTATACGACCCCGAATTAAAGTATGTAAAATAATTCAAACGAGAAAACTAACGGCCTTATTTATGTACAACATAATAATCGAAAAACAAATATGATATACAGCAACAAATGACAACCACTGAATTACAGGCTCCTGACTTGGAACAGGCATATGTAGAATGTGGCGGGACAAAACATGTTTTGCGATTCTCACCAACCCTCCTCTTACCTAAGACAGCGGTGTAACAGAACAACATAAGAACAAACCATAAACATCAGTTGAAGAAGGCTCAACTCATCAGATCGATACAATGCACAAAAACACAAAAATAACACAAAGTACAAATCTAAGAGTACTAGCACATATACTTTTTTCTTTGCAGAAGGCTTTTAATGAGTTGCAGCAAATGCATTTACAATAAGATTTTCAAAGGACTATAC